GACAACCTTCCTCAGCTAGGCACGTTCTAATTCTACAGGTGTTATTAATGACTAAAATTTACCACCAGTAGGTGTGCCAATCACTAAGTCCATGGTTCTGGGAGTTGAAGTCCACACATCTTAAAATAGCTAAAATTGGGAAACACTACTTTATATCCAAAGCAATGAACAGTCCTAATATATTTTACAGTTGCATACCTTCCTCGCACCACAATTGGTCACATCTAAAAGATATCCTCAAGCATGAAGCTGGGAGCCATTACTCAATGCTGTTTCTCTAAGAAGAAGAATAATTAATGGCTCTCCTTAAAATTTGAGGCTTGGGTCTATGCAGATTTGAGGGCTGGGCTCCATGGGACTTTCAGCACAGCTGAGCTACCTGTTGATTTCATGACTTCATAATGGTTACGATTCGGATATACAAAAAAGGATGGAACAGAAAAACAAATAGAATCATGTGTGCAATATGTGTGATAGATGAGTCTCTGTGGTTAAAAAATCAGAGAGTAATGCTAGATGAGGGGACTGTAATCCTCTAGATGTTTAAATTATTGCATATTAAGTGTGCCACATTACTAAGCACAATATCAATCAATTTAGCAGTATCAAGTCAAATGGGAGACTATATAGCAGTGTGTCTACGGGAGGTAGGAACCATGAAATAACAGAATAACAGAGTTTGAGGTCTTCTAGTCTAACGCCCTGCTCAAGCAGGAGATCCTACATCATTTCAGACAAATGGGTGTCCAATCTCCTCTTAAAAACCTCCAGCGATTTATTTTATTTTATTTATTTATTATTCTAATTTGTATACCGCCCTTCTCCCAGAAGGGACTCAGGGCGGTGAACAGCCAAAATTAAAAAACATACAAATGCAAAAGTTAAGATAATTAAAAGAATTAAATCATTGGCTACCCAAATTTAAAACCCCAAATCCATAAAATTTAAAATCCCAATTAAAAAACCATTTAGGCTAGGCCGGCTTGATGAAATAAAAACGTCTTCAGGGCTTTACGGAAGGTCCGGAGGTCCGGGATCAATCGTATTCCAGGAGGCAGCTCATTCCACAGGGCGGGTGCCCCCACAGAGAAGGCTCGCCCCCTGGGGGCCGCCAGCCGACATTGCCTGACCGACGGCACCCCAAGGAGGCCCTCTCTGTGAGAGCGTATTGGCCGGTGGGAGGTTATCGGTAGCAGCAGGCGGTCTCGCAAATACCCTGGCCCTAAGCCATGGAGCGCTTTAAAGATGAGAACCAACACCTTAAAGCGCACCCGGAAGACCACCGGGAGCCAATGCAGCTCGCGCAGGAGAGGTGTTACGTGGGAGCGCCACGTCGCTCCCATAATCACCCGCGCGGCCGCATTCTGCACCAGCTGGAGCCTCCGGGTGCTCCTCAGGGGGAGCCCCATGTAGAGAGCATTACAGTAGTCCAGGCGTGACGTAACCAAGGCATGAGTGACTGTGCACAAGGAGTCCCGATCCAGAAAGGGGCGCAACTGGCGTATCAGGCAAACCTGATAAAAAGCCCCCCTGGCCACGGCCGTCATATGCTCTTCTAAAGACAGCCGTGTGTCCAGGAGGACGCCCAAGTTGCGAGCCCCCTCTGTGGGGGTCAGTGACTCGCCCCCAATAGCCAGCGATGGCACCAGCTGGCTATACCGGGACGCCGGCATCCACAGCCACTCGGTCTTGGAAGGGTTGAGGCGAAGCCTGTTCCTCCCCATCCAGACCCGCACGGCCTCCAGACACTGGGACATCACTTCGAGGGCATCATTGGGGTGGTCTGGGGTGGAAATGTACAGCTGAGTGTCATCAGCATACAGATGGCATCGCACCCCAAAACCACGGATGATCTCACCCAGCGGCTTCACATAAATGTTGAACAGGAGCGGCGAGAGGACCGACCCTTGCGGCACCCCGCAAGCAAGGCGCCTCGAGGTCGACCTCTGCCCCCCTGCCAACACAGACTGCGACCGGTCAGAGAGATAGGAGGAGAACCACCGCAACACAGTGCCTCCCACCCCCAGTCCCTCCAGCCGGTGCAGCATGATACCATGGTCGATGGTATCAAAAGCCGCTGAGAGGTCTAACAGGACCAGAACAGAGGAACAACCCCTGTCCCGAGCCCTCCAGAGATCATCCACCAATGCGACCAATGCCGTCTCCGTGCTGTACCCAGGCCTGAAGCCGGACTGGCATGGATCCAGATAGACGGTTTCATCCAGGAACTGTGGGAGCTGTCGCGCAACCACACTCTCCACAACCTTCGCAACAAAGCGAAGGTTGGAGACCGGACGATAGTTTGCCAAAACGGCCGGGTCCAGAGAAGGCTTCTTGAGGAGGGGCCTCACCACCGCCTCTTTCAAGGCGGGAGGCAAGAAACCCTCTCTCAGAGAAGCATTTATGATCCTCTGGAGCCAGCCTCGTGTTACCTCCCGGGTGGCCAGTACCAGCCAGGAGGGGCACGGGTCCAATAAACATGTGGTTGCGTTTAATCTCCCCAGGATCCTGTCCACGTCCTCAGGAGTCACAGGGTCGAACTCATCCCAGGTAACATTCTCAAGACCAGCCTCAGTCACCCCGCCGGGATCTACCCAGTCAGAGTCCAAGCCTTCCCGAATCTGAGCGATTTTATCATGCAGATACTGTGCAAAATCCTCAGCCTGCCCTTGCAAGGGGTCTTCCCGCGCTCCCTGATATAGGAGGGAGCGGGTCACCCTAAACAAGGCGGCTGGGCGGTTATCTGCCGATGCAATAAGAGCAGAAAAGTGGTTACGCTTTGCCGCTTTTATCGCCACTAGATAGGTCTTAATATGAGACCTAACTAGTGTTCGGTCGGATTCGGAGCGACTCGCCCTCCAACCACTCTCTAGGCGTCTTTTCCGGCGCTTCATCCCCCTCAGCTCCTCGGAAAACCAAGGGGCCAGGCAGGTTCGGCGTCGGGTCAGAGGCCGCAAAGGCACGACTCGGTCCAGAGCACCGGCGGCTGTCCTATCCCAGGCAGCCACCAGATTTTCAGCCGAGTCATGTGCCAGAGTTTCAGGAACTGGCCCAAGCTCCCTCTGGAACCTATCAGGATCCATCAGGCGCCTGGGGCGGAACCACCTGGTCGGTTCCGCCTCCCTGCAGTGGGGTGCAGCGGTCGAAAGGTCCAGTCTCAGGAGAGAATGGTCCGACCATGACAGGGGTTCAATAACTATATCCCCTATATCCAGACCACTCCGCCACTGACCAGAGATAAAAACCAAGTCCAGAGTGTGTCCTCCCACGTGAGTGGGGCCATGAATTAATTGTGTCAGGTCCATGGCTGTCATGGAAGCCATAAACTCCCGAGCCATCCCAGACGCCCCACCGGTAGATGGCAGGTTGAAATCCCCCATGACCAAATGATGGAGTACCCACAACTTCTGGAGGCAAGTTATTCCATTGTTCTGGCAGGAAATTTCTCATAGGCCACATTGGGACTCATTGGCCACATTCTAGGTTAATTCTCTTCTTGATTATTTTCCATCCATTGCTTCTGGTCTTGCCTTCTGGTGCTTTGGAGAATAGGTTGACCCCCTCTTCTTTGTGACAGCTCCTCAAATATTGGAACATTGCTATCATGTCACCTCTAGTCCTTCTTTTCACTAGACTAGACATACCCAATTCCTGCAACTTTTCTTCATAAATTTGAGTCTCCAGGCCCCTAATGATCTTTGTTGCTCTTCTCTGCACTGTTTCCAAAGTCTCAACATCTTTTTTATAATGTGGTGACCAAAACTGGACGTAGTATTCCAGATATGGTCTTACTAATTATCTTCCCTCCCATCAGATCAGGGACACCAATCATAGATGAATTAGAGGGATTGGTCATGAAAGAATCCTGAAAGTTAAGGTGGAGCTAGAAGTCAGGGAATTGTTTAAAAAAGTAGATGGAGACAAAGAAGATTTTGTCTGGGAAGTTACAGAGCCTGTTGAGAATTTGAGTTTGATGTGAGTTTCAGACCTCAGTGATAACCAACTAATAAAACATACCTGTATTTTTACAATTTGTAAATTGATATTAGGGAGAACTCTGACCATCTCCCAATTGGATTGGCTATAGGCTAGACCATGGCAATTTTAAGTTGGGTGGACTTCAAGTCCCAGCATGCTGGCTGAGGAATTTTGGAAGTTGAAGTCCACACACAGCTTAAGTTTGCTAAGTTTGGGAAACCCTGGACCAAACTGAACAGCAGGTTCATAAGACTGCTGAGAAATTGTAGAGATGCAGTCATCTGAAGTTCAGGTAGTCTTGAGGACCTCTTGACTTTAAGCTGTCTTGGATTTTATGATAGCTGAATCAAATAAAAACCCTTTTAGATATTCCCACCACAATTTTCAAACAGAAATGAACCTCTATGCTCTTTCCTTATTATCTATAACATCCACAAAAAGAAAAGAATGCTAACATCAGGCATATGTTACTTCTGTCCCAAGGTCTTTGGAGAAACCAAGACAGGATGACCTGCCATCAACTAGGACAATGTTCAAAATAACTATTTGATAGACAGCTGTACTGCATTAAATCAGAGAGTGCTGTAGTGGTGAGTGTGCAACTGGAACTTCAAGAGATCATAGATCTTGCTTCCATAATGGGTCCACTGATCTCTTATTTTGAAAGTCAACACCCTCCTTCTCACCACCTTCATTTGACACTCATCTTTTTTAGGGAGCTCTGCCCTCTCCCACTATCTTCATGCCAAATTCAACATTGTTAATATCTGAAATACACACCAACCAACATTTTCATCTCAAATACAGCAATAACTAGGATGGCCAACTGACCAAGAAAAAGGTAACCTAGCTTATTCTACTACTTGAAAACAGAGTGATGTGTAGAAACGATCAAGAAATGCTTACAATGCTTTGGAGAGAAACATAGGGTAGTTAAGATAGCTGGCAAACCACATCAACTTATTTTTTAATGGCTCATGTTTAGGGAAGAGAAAAAAAGAACCAGATATGTCCTACTCAGATTGGAAGAAACATCAACACAAATTTGTTTAATCAAAGCTATTTGCTTCATCAACAGATATTCACAGTAATTGCTAGATTTCAGCAATACAGGGAGTTCAGAAATTCCAGATTCAATGCTTTGTAGGTTAGGTCACAGTTCAAACAGGCTTGGGGGAAGTAAAATAACCCCATCAGATTATGTATTGCTGCATTTTTCATGCTCTCTGTGACTGAACCGTTTCTCTGGCAATGCTCCTCTTCAAACCTTTCTTCTTCTGAGCTCCTTAAGCATGGGCAGGGAGCTCAGTAAATCCCATCTCACATCAGTTCTCTCAAAAGTTGGGCATATGCCTCAGCACGTATCCCCTTCCCAAATCCTGTTTTACTGGAAAACTTAGATTTACAACTGTAGAGTTAATTTCTTTTCCTTTTTAAAAATTCAGATTGTGATGGGGGGAAAAAGAGAAATTCAATCCACATATCAAAATAAGTGCAGAGTTTGAAGTTAGCTTTCACCTGGATTCAGGCTGATGCCCTAGGAGACTTTCTTTCCTGCAAGATAGGCTCTTCATCCGGGTGGGATGACTGATCAGGTTTCATATTAAGAAGTTCTCCAATTTGAAAGGAAATTTCTTCCAGTGCATTTGAATTTAAGCATGGGGCAATTAAGACAATAAATAGGGAGTGGGTCTGACCCTCCAGAATGTGGAATGGAGCAGCCCTGGAGAAATGAGCCTCAGGAGCTACTCTGGAGAAGTGCTCAGGATTCTGGAGAAGAGGATAGGCACCTTTGCAGGATCGATCCTATTGTCAGATATGAAAGCAGTTCTGACATTCCATCCAAGTTCAGCTCACATGGTTCCTTTCTCTACTTCAACATCTTTTCTTTTTAATTTGGGGGAGGAAAAAAAAAAAACCTCATCGACACAAAAGCACCAATATGCATCGTGACATCATCACCATGACATCAAGGTGACATCATCAACATAACGACATTTTTCTCTTTTAGGCTCTCAGGACTGCAATGCTCTCTGTCTCATCTATTCCAAAGGATAACCCCCCACAAGAAGATGCTGTGATCGATCAACTTCTGGGTTTATTGTCATCATCATCATCACTGTTACTATGATTTTCTTTTCCTTTTTTTTTTTTGGTGGGGGGTGGGGGTTAAATAAAGCAAGCCTTCCTTTGTGATTCTCTTCTTCTTAGAACCAAAGCCAGCTGACCAGGAGCTAGTGAACAGTTTGGATTCTTCTTGGTAAGCTGAAGCAGAAAGTCAAACAAAAAAGAAAGGAGAACTATTTGGAGGGGGGGGTCACCACTCCTGTCCCAGTGAGTTGAGTCATGCAGTGCTGTGGTCCCCTGGAAGCACCGCACAGAGCAAAAGAAACGTCCAGTCTAGCTCCTGCTCCAAAAGCTTCCATTCACCTCAGAAATAAATTAAGGGATTCTCAAGAGTGGAAAGAAGAGATGTGATCAGTGATGTCTCCTCTAGGGCAGTGGGACAGGTCATTCCTGCTTCCCTTCCCCCCGTTAACAATGACAATGTCGCTCATTGCCTGCCCGTCTGGCCACAAGAGAGTCCAAGGTGTGACAGAGTTGTTGGTCTGGTGTTCAGTCCTGCCACAAAAAGAACGGGCCTGTGCTATTCGAGAGGCTAGCGGCTACTGTTCTTTATAGCTTCTTTTGCAGCAATAATCAAGGGGGTCAGGCTGGACAGCGGCTTGGCCAGTTTTAAAAACGGGTGCTGGAAGGAAAAAGAAAAGAATGTATCCATTTACGAACTGTGACAGTGAGACAAGTAGGTAAATTATTTATTTATGTAGTATATGGCATTGTTACATTAGCCAAAAGATTACAACGCTAATGCAGAATACAGGTAGTCCTTGACTTACGACCACAATTGAGCCCAAAATTTCTCTTGTTAAGTGAGACATTTGTTAACTGAGTTTTGTACCATTTTACGACCTTTCTCGACACAGTGGTTAACTGAATCACTGCAACTGATAAATTAGTAACCTAGTTGTTAAGTGAATCTGGCTTCCCCACAGACTTCACTTGTCAGAGGGTTGCAAAAGTGGATCACATGCCCTTGGGACAGGGGTGAAATGCTCCTGGTTTGGACCGGATCGCCCGATCCGGTAGCGATGGCGGCGGGTGGTTCGGAGAACCGGTAGCAAAAATCCCTGCCCCACCCCTCATGCCCAACTGAGCAGCATGATCATCAGAGGCTTTTTTTTTTTTTTACTTTTAAAAGCATTTTTTCTACAACTTCTTCTGCCGAAAAAATGCTTTTAAAAAATGCTTTAAAAAAAAAAAAGCCTCTGATGATCAAGCGGCTCAGCTGGGATCGTCAGAGCCTTTTCTTTCTTTTTTTTTTATAAAGTTTTTTATTATAAACGTAAGTTAAAAAGACATAGACATACAACATATACAAAAATCTTAGTTTCTTTTTCAGCTACTTAACAGTGATCCATTTCTTACTATATATTAATATTTACAGATATTATAATATTAACTATTTCATTTCTACTAATCTGTTAATTGATCTATCACATTTTTCTCTTTCCCTTTTTCATTCCCTTAATTTATTTTCTTATTTTTCAACCATTCATACCAATTATTCCACACTTTATATAATATTTGGTTTCCTCTTTCCCCTGAATTTCTTTAGTTAGTTTATCCAGTTCTGTGCATTCTAAAATCTTTTTAATTATATCCTTATCTGGTGGTAATTCTTCTTCCTTCCAGTATTGCGCATATATAATACGCACTGCTGTCAATATATGTAGTACGAGATACTGTGTTTCTTTAGTATAGTTTTCTATTGACATCCCTAATAGAAACTGTTCAGGTTTTCCCTCTATTGAATTCTGGATTATTTCTTCAATCCAATTTTTAATTTTCTTCCAGAATTTTTTCGCCACCGGGCATGTCCACCATTGATGATAGAATGTTCCGTAACTGATATTACACTTCCAGCATTTCGGAGAATTGCTGGGGAACATTTTTGCTATTCTCACTGGTGGGAGATGCCATCTGTGAAACATTTTCATCTGGTTTTCCTTGTATGCAGTTGAGATTGTTCATTTCATATTGGTTTTCCACATCTTTTCCCACTTCTCCAACTCTATCGGGTAATTAAAATTTTGGGTCCATTTGATCATTGTTTCTTTCACAGTTTCCTCTTCCATTTTATACCGTAATAGAAATTTGTATATTTTACTAATTAGTTTTTGTTCATTCTTTAACAAAATTTTATCAAGGTCGGTGTATTCTACTCTGATTTGATCCATTTTCTTTTCCTCCATATATTTTGATCTTATTTGTAGGTATGACCACCATTGTATTTCCCTACATAAATACTGTTCCAGTTCGTATTTTGCTTTTAGGGTTCCCCCCTCATTAACGATATCTCTATATCTAATAATTTTGGACCAATCTAGTAAATTTGGGTGTGTTAACGTTTCTTCTGGGGAGATCCAGGATGGTACTCCTATATAGTGATATTTCTTAATTTTATTCCAAATTTTTAAGAGTGAGTTCCTAATTACATGTCTTTTGAAATATTCAAAGCATTTTTTAACCACCTCTTCCCTGGAAGAGGTTGCAGAAAAAAATGCTTTAAAAGTCTCTCTGACGATCCCAGCTGAGTTGCCTGATCGTCAGAGAAACTTTTCAAAGCATTTTTTTCTGCAACCAGTTCAGTGGAAGAGGTGGTTAAAAAAATGCTTTGAAAAGACTCTGACGATCCCAGCGGTATTCCTGATCGGCAGAGGCTTTTCAAAGCATTTTTTTGCATTTGCAGAAAAAATGCTTTGAAAAGTTAAAAAAAAAAAAAAAGTTGGCCACGCCTACCCAGTCACATTACCCCCCCAAGCCACGCCCACAGAACTGGTAGTAACAAATTTTACATTTCACCCCTGCCTTGGGACACAGCAAATCAAATCAAATCAAATCAAACCTTTATTGTCAATGCACAACATGTGTACAATGAAATTGAATGAGGCTCCCTTGGTGCAGCCCCCGCCAAAACAAAACATACATCTCAATTAACTCAATAAATGAAAGAAATAGAACGGAAACATGAACCCATTGCCAAGCATCTGAATTTTGATCACATGACCATGGGGATGCTGCAAAGTCATAACTGTGAAACGCTATCGTAAGTCACATTTTTAAGTGCCGTTGTAAGTTTGAATGGCCACTAAACAAACTATTGCCAGTCAAGGACTATTTGTAGTAGTTTGGCTGCCAATTTACTAGCTCTGTTTTTGTACAAGCTAGTGCACTTTCCAACAAACAAAGACTCTTTCTCACTATGAAGTGGTATCTAAATCTATTGGTATTGCTAACAGTTGGGAAACCAACCAAGAAAAATGAATCTAAGCCAGTGGTGGGATTCAAAAATGTTTACTATCAGTTGTGTGGGCATGGCTTGGTGGGTGTGGCAGGGGAAGGATACTGTAAAATCTCCACTCCCTCCCCACTCCAGGGGAAGGTTACTGCAAAAGCCCCATTTCCTCCCGATCAGCTGGGACTCAGGAGGCAGATGATAGATGGGGGCAGGGCCACTCAGAGGTGGTATTTACTGGTTCTCCAAACTACTCAAAATTTCTGCTACTGGTTCTCCAGAACTGGTCAGAACCTGCTGAATTCAGGTTCTTGGCGCATTCAGTTTTATGCTTCTTCTCAAGAGTAATTTTGGAGGAAACTGGTCATCTGATGCTGTGCAGGAAGCAAATCTAACCCAGATTGGAAATCAGAGAAGGCAGCAGGAAGCTAGGATTCGATGGGGGGAGAAACTTTGGAGATTGTGAAAGGTAGGAGGCAGCTAGGGTTTGATGGGGGAGAAACTGCAAAGATCAGAGAAGGCAGGGAAGCCAGGAGGCAGCTAGGACTCGGTGAGGGAGAAACTGTACAGATCGCGTCCTAGCTTTCTCCTACCTTCCTGCCTTCTCCAATCTTTGCAGTTTCTCCCCCCATCAAATTCTAGCTGCCTCCTGCCTTCTCCAATCTCCAAAGTTTCTCCCCCATCGAATCCTAGCTTCCTCCTGCCTTTCCCCCATCAAATCCTAGCTTCCTTCTGCCTTCTCCGATCTCCAGTTTCTCTCCCATCGAATCCTAGCTTCCTCCTACCTTCTCTGATCTCCACAGTTTCTCCCCCATTGAATCCTAGCTTCCTCCTACCTTCTCTGATCTCCAAAGTTTCTCCCCCATTGAATCCTAGCTCCTCCTACCTTCTCTGATCTCCACAGTTTCTCCCCCATTGAATCCTAGCTTCCTCCTACCTTCTCTGATCTCCAAAGTTTCTCCCCCATTGAATCCTAGCTTCCTCCTGCCTTCTCTGATCTCCAAAGTTTCTCCCCCATTGAATCCTAGCTTCCTCCTACCTTCTCTGATCTCCACAGTTTCTCCCCCATTGAATCCTAGCTTCCTCCTACCTTCTCTGATCTCCAAAGTTTCTCCCCCATTGAATCTAGCTTCCTCCTGCCTTCTCTGATCTCCAAAGTTTCTCCCCCATTGAATCCTAGCTTCCTCCTACCTTCTCTGATCTCCAAGTTTCTCCCCCATTGAATCCTAGCTTCCTCCTACCTTCTCTGATCTCCAAAGTTTCTCCCCCATTGAATCCTAGCTTCCTCCTACCTTCTCTGATCTCCACAGTTTCTCCCCCATTGAATCCTAGCTGCCTCCTGCCTTCTCTGATCTCCAAAGTTTCTCCCCCATTGAATCCTAGCTTCCTCCTCCTTCCTCCTCCTGATCCTCTCTGATCTCCAAAGTTTCTCCCCCATTGAATCCTAGCTTCCTCCTACCTTCTCTGATCTCCAAAGTTTCTCCCCATTGAATCCTAGCTGCCTCCTGCCTTCTCTGATCTCCAAAGTTTCTCCCCCATTGAATCCTAGCTTCCTCCTACCTTCTCTGATCTCTACAGTTTCTCCCCCATTGAATCCTAGCTTCCTCCTACCTTCTCTGATCTCCACAGTTTCTCCCCCATTGAATCCTAGCTTCCTCCTGCCTTCTCTGATCTCCAGTTTCTCCCCCATTGAATCCTAGCTTCCTCCTGCCTTCTCTGATCTCCACTCTATTTTGAGCTGAAAAGCCTCCTGCACCAACCTGGAAGCCAAAATGGGGGCGCATGCACAGCGCACGTGCATGCATGCGCAGGGCGCATGCGTGGGGGGCACTCACATTGCATTTTGTGGGGTGGTGGCACATGCACGTGCATTCATGCGTGTGCGTGTGTGCTTTGGGCACTCGGCACCAAAAAGGTTAACCATCACTGCCCTAATGTATGAAATATGAGTAACCATACAAAGGGGCAAAATTTATAAGCAGCTTAACCTGTCAGGCTGCCCTGTCAGAGAGAATCTCCGTAAGAGCTATACTTCGTCAAAAGATTAAGCTTTTCCTTCATTTACCTGCAAGAGTTCTTTCGCAGACCCTCGCCTGTCAACATCCATCTCAAGGCAGCGGTTCAAAAAGTCCCGGAAAACCACGGAAAGTCTTTCAGGATTCTGGAGTTCTGGTGTCCCGTTGGTAGCTATCAAATATAAGGCCTGAGAGATAAAATAACAAATTGAATCAATCCCGTTATTTAGGTAGATGGTCAGATATGCCTCGTCACACCCATATTCCTCTCGGCTGGACTATTGCAACGCTCTCTACATGGGGCTCCCCTTGAGATGCACTCGGAGGCTCCAACTGGCGCAGAGTGTGGCCGCGCGGGTGGTTATGGGAGCGACGTGGAGTTCCCATGTAACACCTCTCCTGCGCGAGCTGCACTGGCTCCCGGTGGTCTTCCGGGTGCGCTTCAAGGTTCTAGTTATCACCTTTAAAGTGCTCCATGGCTTAAGACCTGGTTATTTACGGGACCGCCTGCTACCACCAATAGCCTCCCACCGGCCAGTATGCTCCCATAGAGAGGGGCTCCTCCAGGTGCCGTCGGCCAAACAATGTCGGCTGTCGGCCCCCCAGGGGGAGAGCCTTCTCTGTGGGGACACCTACGATCTGGAACGAGCTCCCCCCAGAGATACGGAGGATCCTGGATCTGCGCACCTTCCGCCGTGCGCTTAAGACTTTTCTATTTCATCAAGCCGGCTTGGCCTAAATCTTCCCCCTTTTAAATGTGGAAATTTTAAATTTGTTTTAATAATAGGTTATGGGTAAGACGTTTTAAATTGGGGAGCCATTTTGGATTTAATTTTTTAAAATGTATTTTAATGTTTATATTATATGTTTTTTAATCTTGGCTGTTCACCGCCCCGAGTTCTTCAGGAGAGGAGGCGGTATAAAAATTTAATAAATAAATAAATAAATAAATATTCTTCTCTTATAAACACATAAAAGCAAAATGCGACTTACGGCCACAATTGGGACCAGAATTTCTGTGGCTAAGCAAGGAGTGAGTTGCACCTGATTTTATTACCTTCTTTGGCACCGTTGTTAAGTGAACCCCTGCAGCTGTTAAGTCAATTATGTGCTTGTTAAGCAAATCTGGCTTTACCCATTGACTTTGTTTGTTGGAAGCCAGCTGGTCGGGTCACAAATGGTGATCACGTGACCCTGGGATGCTGCAACTATTGTAAACACAGACCAGTTGCCAAGCACCAACTTCTGATCATGGAACTGTGAGGATGCTGCAATGGTTTTTAATGCAAGGACTGGTCATAAGTCACCTTTTTCAACACTGTTGTAACTTTGAATGGGTATTAAACAAATGGTTGTAAGCTGAGGACTACCTGTACAGTCAGTGTAATTTTGAGAAGGGCTCAAACGGGTGAGCTTTACTTATCAGAGCAAACCAAGTTTTTCTGTGCAGAGCTTCAAAAGGGGGAAGGGGTTGTTTTGTCAGAGTTTTGACCAAAATATCTCTGTTTTGATCAATTGATCAAAGGACTTCTATCTTCTGCAACAATAAAGGAGAGTTCCAGTGGTCTTGTAGAGGCAATTTCATGACATGGCTTATCTGAAAGAGTTGACATCAATTTTGAAAGTCTAACAGAGTTCTCTCTCCCTGCGCCCTTTGTAGCCAAGAGAATCAAGGTGGGACAATCCTGAGTTACTTTCTCACCAACTTCTCTCTTTCTGAGCTAAGCTGGTATTTACTATAACCCTGAAGAAGGAATGCATGGGCTGTTATCTCAGTACCCTTCTACAGTAGGGAAAAGCTGCAGGAGAATTTTTTTTCCCCACTGCCTTTTCTAGGATAGACAGCTAGAAATGTCTGTCCTACTTAGTCCATGAGTTGGCTGTGGTGGACTGGTCTCCATCCAAATGTACACTCCAGTGAATTCCACTACACACTCAAGCTTTGGAAGGACTCAAACATAACAGTGTAGAATGTTGATCTTACCCTGAGAGGATTCTCATTGAGATACGGAGGTTCTCCTTCTACCATTTCTATTGCCATGATTCCTAAAGACCAAATGTCCACTTTGGGGCCATATGCTTTCCTTGTGACCACTTCAGGAGCCATCCAGTAAGGTGTCCCCACCATTGTACTCCGCTTGCTCTGTTCAGGAGTTATCTGAGCACAGAAGCCAAAATCAGCTGCAGGTAACAGAAAATAAAAATTATTACTGTAGAAACCATACTGATAATAGAACATAAAATAACCGAGTTAGAAGGGACCTTGGAGGTCTTCTAGTCCAACCCTCTGCTCAAGCAGGAGACTTTATACCATTTCTGCAATTGAACAGAACAGCTCATCTTATTGTCTATGGAGATTTTCAATCATCCAGGTCATTATTGTCCCCAAAATGCTTTTTTCAAAAGGCAACTGGACTTCCTTGGTTTATTTGCTTTGAAAAAGCTTCTTGGAATGAGAACAAAATGTTTTTAAAGAAAATAAACCAAGAAAATCCAGCTGGCTTTTGGAAAAAGCACCTTCAGCCTATTGGTTCAGCCCTCCACAAAAGTCCATTTCTCATATGGCCCCTTGGGAAAATTAATTGCCCAACCCTGCCTTAAGGTGTTGCCTGATGCCTAGAAGAGCTGACGGTACCAAAGTCTTTGATTTTATAATTTCTTATCCATTTAATTCCTTTAAGTATGCATGGTTGTTTTATTTTTTAATGCTTCATAAATGAACAACTGAAAGTATTGTAAGTGTGGCTGTATTACATTTAGTAAAATAAATAAGTATCCTTTTGGCACTAATCCCTATCGATACAGATACACTCATGTATGTATCATTTTACATATTGCCCAGCCTTTATAATGGAGTTTAACTGCACCCTTTGTTGTCTTAAATTTCTTGGGTTGATTCCAGTATTCCAACTGTTCATTTCTGCCATGTTTATTGATCCATTAAGCCTTGGAAATCAGTGCCAACAGGCCTTAATTAATTCTTTTATAGCTATATGATCTAGTGTAATCATTGATGGATAAAATAGTGCAAAACAATGATTAAACTAAATAAGGGATACAACAGCAAACATCAAGCAATATTAAATCAAGCTACTCAATGAAATCCAAATGATTGAGTGAATCATCAGGTCTTCAAATCTATAGTAATAATATCCAGATGACTGAAAGCAGGAAATGCCACCCCATAATTCAGAGTGCCAGGCTATAATGGGCAGAAGGAATAACCTTGAGGAGAGGAAAAAGAGCCACAAGCTCTGAGTCCAGAACAGAAACATAATTTGAAAAAGCATCTCAGATACAATCACCCTTAGTTCTCTTGAAGATAAAGTGTGTATCAGGCACAAGCAACCAGAACAGCTCTGAGAATGGGTCAAATAGGTTTCTTCATTGTTCGGCCATTTACAAGAATCTTGCCAAACTCTCTGAATTCCCATGGGAATGGCAGATCTAGACCTAAGGGTTTGACTTCAAATGTTTCCTCCTCTGAATTGACTCTTAGCTTCTTTTGACCTTCTCTACTAGGGCCTCCTCTACTTCAGTCAGTGGTTCCACCACAGGGGAGGGAGGAAGCATATTCAAACTTGCAAGACTCATGTCAGCCCTTCAAGGTAGACCAGACCATGAACACTAAAAATATTTTTATTATATGGTTATAATGAACGAGCCTTTCAAGCCTGAGTGCTTCCAGCCTCTCTCTCTCTTTATCTTCACGAGAACTAATGAGGATCTTGTCTGAGACACTTTCTCAGGTTACTACTCTGTCCCAGACTCCAATTTCTTTCATCTGACAATTGAAACTCTTCCTCTTCTTCCTCAAGATTTTTCCTTTTGCTCATTACATAGAGTCACAATATACACAGTGATAGACAATCTCTTAAGCGATTGATGATATTCCTACAAAGATGACGAAACAAATCCAACCAAATTTCTGTTTCATGCTGTAATTTAATCTTAGAAGAAAAAATTATTTGTGGAAGGAGATTTTTACCTTCTTCTCAGAGAAAGCAATAGCTGTCAAGGTAGGACAGATAGGACAACAAGCAGAGAGGGTACTTACTGAGTTTCACAGATCCGTCCATCCCAAGAAGTATGTTGTCACTCTTGATGTCTCTATGGATCACTTGGTTTGAATGTAAGAAGTCTAATGCTTGCAGGCACTAACAACAGCAATAGTAACACAAGAACATATTTTAAAGAGAGAAATGTAGAAATAAAGAGCAATCTTCTGACACAGGAGAGGCAGGAAGGGCCACTATTTTCAAAATAATGGTGATTTGTGGATTACAAGGAAGAGTGAACAGCTTCTTCCTAAGAATATACTTCTTAGTATATTAGGACCATTAACTTTCTTTTTCCTACCAGATGGAAAGTTACCGTATTTTTCGGAGTATAAGACGCACCTTTTTCCCCCTTAAAAGGGGGTGAAAATTTAGGTGCGTCTTATACACCTACAATCTGGAACGAGCTCCCCCCCAAGATACGGAGGATTCCGGATCTGCGTACCTTCCGCCGCACGCTTAAGACATTCCTATTCCATCAAGCTGGCCTGACCTAAACTTTTCCTCTTTTTAAATGGGAATTTTAAATTTGGTTTTAAATTGGGGTTTTAAAATGGTTCAGCCAAATTTATTTAATTTGTTTTATCTCTATTTTAAATTTTGTATTTATATGTTTTATTTTATGGCTGTTCACCGCCCTGAGTCCTTCGGGAGTAGGGCGGTATACAAATTTAATAAAATGAAAAATGAAAAAAAAAATACACCCAATGTAGCCCTGCCCACCCACTGGCCCCCACCCTTTGGCCTGTGCCTCGCAGCAGTTACCTCCTTGCAAGCAAACAGCAAGAAAAAACAGCTGCTTTCAGCTTCAGCACAAGTTGATTAGATCAGCCTCCCGACTCTGATTTGCTCTCAGCTGTTTTGCGCAGGGCTCTTCTGCTTGCTGCAAAGAGTGCTGGAGCAGATTTTTTTTTCCCTCGTGCTAATCAAGCTATGCTGAAAATGAAACTGAAAATAAAGCAGGCTGTTTGCTGTTTGCTACAATGAGGCAAAATTAGGCAGAGACAGAAGGAGATTTCTTTTTCTTCTTTTTCCTCACCAAAAAAGGTGGGTGCAAACAATGGGAAATTTAGGGCAAAAGAGAAGAGTTCAAAATTTTAAACACAAAAGAAAAAAAGGAGAAAGAAAAAGGCAAAAATAAAAATGGAAAGGGAGAAAAAGAAATGAAAGAGAAAAATGTTATACATATTTAGAATTGAAATATGAATAGTAGTAAGAAATAAATGGGAAATCATGATTGTAAAAATGAAATGAATAATAATTGGAATATTTGTCTTTGTATTTTTGAAATCTAGACAATGATAAGTTTTTATTTTTTTATTTTTTTTAGAAATATGAATAAGTAAACTGTAACAATTGAAATACCTTTAATGGTATATGGTGATGAAAGTAAAAAGGATTAAGTTGTAGCTTGGATAACAGCTAGAACATTTTTAAATTTAATTAGGGAAATTGTAATGATTGAAATATTTTTAATTATATATTGTGATGAAAGTAGAAATGATTAAGTTGTGATTTGGAGGATTATATGGGCAAAACTATGTGGGTTATTGGGAGAATTTAAGATGTGAAAATGAGTAACATAAGAGAGGGAAATTATTTGGTTTATTATTATTGGTAAATATAATTAATTGATTTGTAAGAAATTGGATTGCATGGAAATAATTGGAATATTCATGTTCATATTGATTAATATACAAAAAAGATAGTTATATAACTAATTGATTTATATTAAAATGTTGAATTTGTATTAAACAATTGTAATATTACATAATTAACCAATGTGAGGATGGATATAAAAATAGATGACAATGGGAAGGGGTATAATATAGAATACAAAGGGAAAAATTGAATTTGATTAAGATTAGAGATGAGGATGAAGGGTAATATTGGTTTTTTAAAAAAAATAGATGAGGAATAAATATGGCAAAAAGAAAATATAGAAATTGTAAATTTAATTGAAATGACTAAACACTGTTTAAATTTGTGAACCAGCCAAATACTCTGTTCAAAGAAAATACATTATATGTTTGTATGTGTATTTGTCAAAAAAAAAAAACTTTTTTAAAAAAAACAACCAAAAAAGATAGGTGCGTCTTATACTCCAGTGCGTCTTATATTCTGAAAAATACGGTACTTTCAAAATTCTGGTCAACCACCACACAATTCCTCAATTTTATCCAATCATAAGTCCAAGCAGTTGCTAGAAGTCAACATGGGCTTGAAAACATAAATAAAAGGGAGAAAGCCATGTATTCATTAATTACATAGTTTCCTTGCCATAAAGTAGTCTTAATGAGTATCTAGACTGGATACAATCACATATAAAAAAAAATGCATGTCAAGACTGATTAAAACTTGCACGTCAAGACTGATTAAAACTTTCACCTATATTCCACTTTGCTCAAACCTTGACAAAAGAAGGGGGTGGGTTGATTGGAATGTAAGGGTGGGGCATCCAAGCATCATTGATTCCAGTGAGACATAACTCCCCTCCTCAAGGACACCCATAGCAAAAGGCCACAGCAGTGGTCAGCGGGTTCTCAAAACAAAATGAACAGAAGTGATTGGTAGGTGTAATGGAGCGTGGGGTAGCCCGTGGGGAAAGGGGGAATGAACTATGCGTGCTTTTGTGTGGGAAGCCCAGAGCCGGTTTTGCTTCTTCTGTGCTAATGTGGATTTATTCAGTAAAGTTTGTACTCTTGGTAAAATAATGTCCCAGGAGTTTCTTTTTCTGGATTCCCAACTGGACAGTTGACAGTACAACTGTGAGAAACTATGATTATAAATTGACCAGATTAATTGCAATGCCTTGACAGTGATAGCACACTGGAACAGAAACAGTTTCAGCAGAATACTACTTTAGTAAGTCGTGGAATTATTATTTAAAAAGGGAAGATTTACTTTATCATAAAGATATCAACTATTATATTTTCTCAGCACAGTATTTCTTACCTCCCTGCAGACAGCAGCAATTTGTCCTTCATCCATGCACGTTTCTGTAACCACATCTGTCAAGGAACCCCCAGCCAAATACTCCATTACAACCCAGAGTTCATCTCCAACAAGGTAACTGGAAAAAAAAATATATAGGATGCATTCACACAGTTACAGGTCAGTATTTTGCAGCAAACCATTCCAAAATTAAAACATTTCAGGATAAGATTCTCTTGAAAGAGATTTACAATAATGTTGCAATAAAGATGCTTCCATGTCAACAAGCATCTCACTGAAAGCTAGTGTAAACTTTCTGACAATAAACCTTAGAAGGAATCGGGTACGACTTTTCCTGATTAACGCATTTTAGGGAAAAGGGTGAGTTTTGAAGTCATGAAAGTTTATGTCTTTTCGTAGAATTTGTTAAAATTTCCTTGGAATGTTTGCTATTACAGACCAACACCGCCCTCTTTCTATAGTATTTCTAACAATAACAGAAATCAGTAAAAAGTAATGAAAGAAAGCAATGCTTGGGGTTACTTACCTATCTAAATAGTTCACAATGTTGGAATTCTTATTTTCCCTCATGACCAGAATTTCATTGATGATTAATTCCTTTTTGGGTTGTTGCTGCAGATTCATCTGCTTTATTGCCACCTGGAATCATATTATCCCCAAAACAAGAGGGAGGGGGACAAGAAAAATCATACAATTATTGTGTAATAAACCCTCCATAGTAAGGGCTGGCAGATTAAGGCAATGGCAACATTAAAAATTTTACTTAAGCAACTTTGCATACAATATCTATCTGTCAAGTAACTGGGGGCTCCTCTCTCTTCTTCTCTGATTGTTTTCTCGGTACCTCCTTTCCCCAAATTTCTCACATTCCATCACAGACATTGAAATTAATGTATGAGAGAATAATTCTCACATACAGAAGTTAATCTATAACACCCTTTCTTTTCAACTTGGGTCATTCTGACCCAATTGTGAGAAGAGCACAAATACAGATAGTCCTTGACTTACAGCAGTTCATTTAGTGAGCATTCAAAGTTACAACAGTACTGAAAAAAGTGAATTATGACCATTTTTTAAAAAATTACGACCTTTGCAGCATCCCCATGATCATGTGATCAAAATTCAGATGCTTGGCAACTGGTTCATATTTATGACCATTGCAGTGTCCCAGGGCCATGTGATCACTTTTTGCGACCTTCTGACAAGCAAAGTCAATGATGTAGCTAGATTCACTTAACAAGCAGGTTAGTAACTTATTAACTGCAGTGATTCACTTAACAACTGTAGCAAGAAAGGTCATAAAATGGGGCAAAATTCACTTAACAAATGTCTCATTTAACAACAAAAATTTGGGCCTCAATTGTGGTTGTAAGTCAAGGACTCCTGTATTGAGATGATAACTCAATCTAAACCAAACTAGAGATACTTCAAAGTCATTTTCTGCTTTGATCAATCAATGTGGATTGCCCTTCAGTCAATATAAATAATGGCACATCATCTCAAACACATTACATGTCATTGGGAAGCTTTAAAATAATCTTTGACCCACCATTGATTTTTTTCTTTGTTCTAATTAATAGGGTATTTACATAGAAAATCTTAGGTCTTTACAGAGATCTTTCTTTAATTGGCATCTACAGACATCTTTGGAAATCAAAGGTTTTATCCAACTGTTAAGAATTAATGATAGGACCCTTAAGTAGGAAATGTTTCAGCAAGGCATCCCAATACCTGGTTAGAAAGTTGAGTGTTTTATTAATTAATAAAGCAGCTAGATTTTAACACCTGCTTCTCCAGCCATTTAATGTAGAAGCTGGACTGTATCACCCACTGAAAGTACATGAGATCACACACTAAATTATAGAAGCCACACAATGCAGCAAAATTGCCTCCCCTGTGCTTTTTGATACAACTAACCCACAATATTCAACAAATCTTTATGTAGTTCTTTTGGCTTTTTAACTTTTTCTTAAGTCTACCAGAATGAGTTCAAGAGTTGCTGGAACTTGGCTCTGGGCACTTAATGTATATGTATGTAGCAGATAATATTTTATTCTCTTCTCTTTCCAGTTCTTCTTCTCCTGTGACTTGATATATTTTTTTTCATTAAAGAGAATGCTGTTTTTTAAAGGTTGCACTAAATAAAGTATGATATTCCTTCTCATCCTTGAAGTTGCAAGACAGAACTATAGGTATTCCTAACCTGAATTGGCTTGGATGGATTTTAACAATCTACCAGGTGTTTATATACTTATATAGATTGGCATGGCACCTGAGGAAGGAAGGGAAGGAGAGAGGGAAGGATTTATTCTTTGTCCCCATAAGACTTCATTTCATTTAGGACATAAGCAGAACCATATGCAAGCCATGAACTGCATCATCAGGTTAGTGCATTAAACAGTGAGAATCTTTGGGTGGTCAGATTTCCACCCAGAAAAGAAACGAGTCCTCAATGTTTAAAAGCAAAATAACCCTGAAACAAATGACATCACACTCACCTCCTGCCCTGTAGCAATGTCTATTGCTGTATAAACAGTACCCGAAGCCCTGGGGAAAAATAAAAAGGGGAATCAAGATGTGACACATCAGCAAGAGAACAAAAATAACTTAATAATAACATGAGAAAGATCAACAAGCTTCCCATCCTAATGTGATTATGAGGGTCACATCTATCCTAGCATCTCTACATTGAATGGAGATGTTTGAAGAATCTGAATCCTCTCCTGTGGGGTCCTTAGTGATTTCCGAGTGTGATGATTTTCTTGCAGATGTTTCATTGGCAAACTAGGTAATGAGGCTAGAAGCTCTGAATTCTCTTCCCTTCAGCCTGTTCTCTCCCAGTTAAATTTTTTAGCCTCCAAGTATCAAGATAGGAAAATGTTTCCCAAGCTTTTGCTGGATAGAGAATTCTGGGAGTTGAAGTCCCCACACTTTAAAATTGCCAAGGTTGAGAAACACTGAGATAGGATGTCAACCACTTCTTCTCTACAGGCTGGGATGGCTGTGTAAAGTTGGAAATTAACAGCAGACTGATAATTTCCAAACAGTCTGACCAAACAGTCACATGACCTTCCCCAGGGATTTCATGGAGTTGTTGAGTACAGGAAAGAGAGAAATGACCCGTGGCGTACCGCATGTTAGAAGTCTCTAAACCACCACAGACTCAAAGCATCCACTGAAGAAGGAATGGAGCCATTCCTTGGAGGCATTGGAGGCATTGTGGAGGCCCACAATGCCTCCAATCCCCAAGCCTTGTAGATGATCCAGTAAGATAACATGATTTGGGGTATCAAAGAGCTTCTACAGGATCAGGAGGAGGCACTATCTGCCAGAAGCCAGCTGGGAAGCTTGCAAATAGCAATCACAAGACCCCAGAATGCTGCATTGTAAATACATGCTGGTTGCCAAGAGCCTGAATTTGGATCACGTGACTGGGAATGCTATGATGGTTATAGCAACAGCAATAGCACTTAGACTTATATACCACTTCATAGTGCTTTACTAAGTGCCCTCTCTAAGCGGTTTACAGAATCAGCATATTGTCCCCAAAAGTCTGGGTCCTCATTTTACCAACCTTGGAAGGATGGATGCTGAGTCAACCTTGGGACGGTGAGAATCGAACTGCCAAACTGTTGGCAGCGAAACTGGTCATACGTCAGTTTTTTCAGTGCCATTGTAACTTGGAATGGTCGCCGAATGAATGGTTATTAATTGAGCACTATATTCTCTCTCTCTGTGTGTGTGTGTGTGTGAACCTCCTATATATAAAGAATGTATTACAAAACAGTAATAAACTATACATCTTAGGGTGATTAAAATAAACAACACACACAGAAAGAAAGAAAAATATGAAAATACTCTGAGCCTGAGGAAAAAAATGTAAGCACTTTTTAATACCAATACAATATAAATACAATATGACCCCAATGTAATATCTGTATGTACATATGTACCAGGGGTGAAATGCTCCCGGTTCGGACCAGCTCGGGCAAGTAGGTAGCGATGGCGGCGGGCAGTTCGGAGAACCGGTAGCAAAAATCCCTTCCCCCCCAGCCTCCAGCTTGCTTACCTTCGCACGCTTGCCTTGCTTCACTTGCTGTAACCCCTGCAATCCATTGCATCAGCAAGCAACTGAATCTCCCTGCCTGCAATCAAGCTCATCGGTGAGCAGCTCTATCTGCCTGCCTGCCTGCCTTTTTCCCTTCAATTGGGTAAGTTTTTTTCCCCTTTGGGAGCTTTAAAAAAAATAGTTAATTGGGGTTTTTTTTAGTTGTTCTTTTTTTAGATCTAACCATTTAAAGTTTAGGAAGTTTTAAATTTAGCTGCTTTTATATAAAAATAAAAATAAAATAAAATAAAATAATATTTGTGCAGCTTTCTGAGATTTTGTGTGTTTCTGCAGTGTTTCACTCTAACTACACAAACACACAAAATCTCACAAAGCTGTACATGGAATTTTGTGTGTATAAAGTGTGAAAGTTGTTTTTTTGGGCTTTTTGTGACTGTGTGAGGTTCCTGCTTGTTGCAGGGGCCATTTTGCCCCTGCTTTTACATTGTGGGTGAGCCAGTTCTGTTGTGTTGTGTTGTGTGTGTGTGTAAAGTGTGAAAGTTGGTTTTTTGGGCTTTTTGTGGCCATGTGAGGTTCCTGCTTGTTTCAAGGGCCATTTTGGGTCTAGCACAGCTGCTTTTACATTGTGGGTGAGCCAGTTGTGTTGTGTTGTATTTTTTAGGTTAAAAAAGGGCAAAGAAGTGATGTCAACTTGGCCACGCCCACCTGATCACCAAGCCCTGCCCACCCAGTCACCTGACCACCAAGCCCTGCCCACTAATTAAGCCACACCCACAGAACCGGTAGCAAAAATTGTTAGATTTCAACCCTGATATGTACGTTATTGCCTTTTTTTTTCTTGTTTAATTAAGGAAATAAAGCCTCTGAGATGGAGCCCATTGCAAATTTCACCCATCAACAGCGAGAAGGAAGACATATGGTGAATGTATTTATTTTTTTATTTTATTTTATTTTATTTATATACCGCCCTTCTCCCGAAGGACTCAGGGCAGTGAACAGCCATAATAAAAACAATGTACAAAATAGAATTTAAAAGCAGATTAAAATAATTAAATCATAGGCCAAATTTAAAACTCTCATTTTAAAACCAATTTTAAAACCCCATTAAAACCAAATTAAAATCATTTATCCCATCAGAGCGGCTTGCTGGAATAACAGGGTCTTCACTGCATGACAGAAGGCATGGAGGTCGGGGATCCTTCGTATGTCCGGGGGTAATTCATTCCAGAGGGCAGGGGCCCCCACAGAGAAGGCTCTCCCCCTGGGGGTCGCCAGTCTACATTGTTTGGCTGACGGCACCCTGAGGAGGCCCTCTCTGTGTGAGTGTACCGGTCGGTGGGAGGCAATCGGTGGCAGACGGCGGTCTTGGAGCCATGGAGCGCTTTAAAGATGGTAACCAACACCTTGAAGCGCACCCGGAAGACCACCGGGAGGCAGTGCAGCTCGCGCAAGAGGGGTGTTACATGGGAGCGACAGGTTGCCCCCATTATTACTCGCGCGGCCGCATTCTGGACCACTTGGAGCCTCCAGGTGCACCTCAAGGGGAGGCCCATGTAGAGAGTGTTACAATAGTCCAGACGGGAAGTGACGAGGGCATGAGTGACTGTGCGCAAGGCGTCCAGATCCAGAAAGGGGCTCAACTGGGAAATCAGGCGAACCTGATAAAAAGCCCCCCTGGCCACGGCCGTCATATGATCATCCAAAGACAGCCGTGAGTCCAGGAGGATGCCCAAGTTGCGAGCCCTCTCTGAGCGGGGTAAGATCTCATCCCCAATAGTCAGCGATGGTGTGAGCTGGCTATATCAGGACGCCGGAAACCATAGCCACTCAGTCTTGGAGGGGTTGAGTCTGAGCCTGTTCCTCCCCATCCAGATCCGCACGGCCTCCAGGCAATGGGACATCACATCAAGGGCATCATTGGGGTGGCCTGGGGTTGAAATGTACAACTGTGTGTCATCGGCATACAGTTGACACTTCACCCCAAAGCCATGGATAATTTCGCCCAGCAGCTTCACATAAATGTTAAACAGGAGGGGCGAGAGAACCGATCCCTGCGGCACCCCACAAATGAGGAACCTCGAGGTCAACCTCTGCCCTCCCATCAACACAGACTGCGTACGGTCAGAGAGGAAGGAGGAGAACCACTGTAAACGGTGCCCCCCACTCCCAACCCCTCTAGCCGATGTATACATTTCTAGTCTTCTGATTTGTATTATTCATGTTAACAAATCCCACTGAGGGGCAATTTCAGATTAGGGTTGTGCTCCAGTATTTATTTAAAGAACCATATGCTGCTTCAGAAATCCCAAAGCTGTTTTCCAAGGAAATTCTGTGCAATCCATGGGTGATCTTATCCCCAATTCTTTTGCCTGATCTCATTCCATAGAAGTAAAAGTACAATAGTAGTAGTAGTGGCTTCCATTGCATTTTAATCATTCTGCACTGAACTCAGTCTTTCGGTCAAATACAATGTTTTCACTGGTAGGGAATGTTTCATTTTAATATAAATGCAAATGGAAATGGGATTTTTGGTGACTAATAGGGGTGTTTAATCCAATTTGTTTACATAAAAAAAATAATTCAGTGTATTCAAGGCTGTCAGGGCAGAACGATGGCTCCTGAGCTTAGAGGAGTCTGATTTGTATATTTTATTTAGAAAAGCCTGTTTACATCCAAGCTGAGCCTCTTGGGGGACTAGGGAAAAAAAAGATTTACTGGCAAAAAAAAGTGCCTTTCAAGATTGATTCGCACCTGCTCCCCCAGTTAGAATTTATTGCAACGCAGTCCATGGGAAAAGCTAAAGCAAGAAATTCTCTATGCATATTTTCAAGGGCACGCAAGCTAAACACATTTATATTTTTATCCCATAAAGAAGGTGATGTCTTGCAGACACGTTCTAGGATCAATGGAGTGTAGCTCTCCAGGCCAAAGTTAAGAACAGCCATCTAGTTAGCACCATTCTTTTTTTTTATGCGGCGTGTTCCATGCAGGGTGGGTGAGGGTGTCAAAATCTGGAACATGGTGGGCAGAAAGTAGTGATCCAGGTTCCCAGGACATGGAATAGGACAATTCTCTGTGGCCAACTCGCTGCCAAGTCACCATGGGATAACTCGCCATGGATAATTCCATGTGAGATAACTAACATGATAAATGTTATCCTCCACTGCTTCTTTCAATATTATTTCCATTTTGTCAATGGAAATAATGTCAATTAGATAATGGTGGATAACATTTGTCATGTTACCTCATGTGGAATCATCTGAGGCGAGTTATACTGCGGTGAGTTGGCCACAGCAAGTTGTCCTTGACCAACCCCAGCTTCTTTATGGTCATAAATTGAGGATTACCTGTATCCCATGGGTATATTGTTTTAATAATGAACTTATTATGAAATCTCCTTTTAAAATATTTCCTGATTTTGTAAACCGTTTTGGAAGAGGGTTTAAGTCTATCTATGTCATACTAAATACTTAGTAGTAGTTTGGTTCTGGGCCCATGCTAATTTTTTGGTGGTACATACAGCCTTCAGGTTATAAATTGTAATCTCTATACCAGGTAATACATGATGGTCCGTGTTGAAAAAAACCTGATGATAAAAAGGAAACAGGAAGAAAGGAGTACTAACCCTTGGCCAATTTTTTCAAACCGTGTATATTTCTTCTTCGGGTCTCCAACACTCACAATACTTCCTAAAAGAAACAGGAAAAATAGACCTTGGTTAAAACACGCATTAAAAGGCCAAGACAAAAGATAGTAGACAATTCCCAAATAATTTTGGAAAAAAGAAAAATTGGATATTGTCAGAAATTCTTAGTCTGGAGAACAGTAAGAATTAAATATTAAGGTGAGATTCAGGAAGCAAAAGAAAACAGATCAGTTGTTTTAAAAAAGGCTACAATGTCACCCAACAGTTTAAAATGCCGAAATATTTATTTGGGTACCACCACTCATCTTTTGAAAAAATAAATAAATAAAACCACACAGTGCTTCAGTTTCAAAAACTATACCTTTGGAATCAAAAACAGAAAACTAGTACAGTCTTAGATAAATAACACTTCCTGTAAGCTTTCTTTAAAAAACATAAATTGTATAATTGATACGGATCGTTCATTCTTCTCTGGCTAGTAGATTAATATAACAAAAACATTTTACACAAAGTGCAAATCAAATTCCAAATTGCTATTCCAAATTCTTTCTATACTGAGTATTTCCCCTATCAATCTGTTATATAAATAGTTTCAGATGTAATTCATAACTTACTTCTCCCTAAATTTCTAAAGACCCACTGCTTCTCCTTCAAATTAAAAAAAAAACCCTATAAAATCTAATGAATTCAAAAATCTCTTGAAATTTGTGCAATCCTACAATCTGGCAAGTTGAACCTACATTTTCCATTTTTGTTTGAGAGCTTATGTGTTTTGCTTATGTGAACAATTCCTGTATTTTCACAGAACAACTCGTGAAATATTGAAGAATAAGCGTTATATATAGGTGTTTAGGAAAATTTTGGGTTTGAGCAGAGCACTCTTGGCAGAAAGTTGCAGGCTTAGAAAAAACTAAAATACTTAAAATTAATTGAGAAACAACAGTAGATTATGATGGCATTATGATAAGCATCAACACATTAGTCCTATAATAAATTCAATTGAGAATTGGAAAAAGCTACTTCCTGGTTATACTAAAGACTGAAATAAAGGAAGATTTTGTAATGGACTGGGGTCTATTTCAAAAAACTGATGTCTGACCTAATCTTTCAATGATTTATTTGAAGGATAATGGCCACCATGTCTTGTACTGCATATCTGTCTGTCTGTCTATCATCCATCCATCCATCCATCCATCCATCCATCCATCCATCCATCCATCCTATCTATCTATCTATCTATCTATCTATCTATCTATCTATCTATCTAATCAGAGTTCCCCAACCTTTCCAGCTTTGCGGACCGGCAAAGGGGGGAGGAGAGGAGATTGTTCTGCATGAGTGGCTGACAGCTCCATTTCCATGAGTGGCGGGCACACATGCTCACCACTTATAGAAATGAAGCATGTATGCCACTCATGCAATTGGAGATGTGTGCACATGGACCGTCGTTTCCACAGCAGGTTCCAAATGGCTCACACCCCAGTAATGGACCGTGGCCTGGGGATTGGGGACCCCTGATCTAAATGAACCTTGTTTTGATGTCTGTATTTATTGTTTCTTTAAGGATTATTAATGGTTTAAAATCTTATTGTCCTTCTGCAAAACTGGGCTCCTTCAGGAAAAAGAGACATCTAAAAATAATCATTACCATTATTATTATTTATTGGTTAATCTTTAGTGAGATTCACAGCCTTTGAGGCTGGTTAATAGCTCAGCAGCTCGAGTCCTAACCAAGGACCTAGGAACTGTTAAGGTATCGTCGGAGGATGTAAGCTGTTCCGAGTAAGGTGGTTTTTTGTAGAGTCAAAATGTTCAAGTCCGGCAAATTTAGGATTTCTAAATAGCGGGGTAGCCCTTTGGGTATTGCTCCGAGGGCTCCAATTACAATCGGGACAACACACAATTTCTTTTTCCACAGTCGCTCAACTTCAATTTGTAAGTCCCGGTACTTTGTGATTTTTTCTTGCTGCTTATCTTCAATTCGTGCATCACCAGGTATTGCAATGTCAATGAACCATACTTTTTTCTTTTCAACTATTGTTATGTCAGGTGTGTTGTGGACCAAGTGTCTGTCAGTCTGAATCCTAAAGTCCCACAAGATCTTGAGTTTCTCATTCTCTAAAACTTTCTCAACCTGATGTTCCCAGTGGTTTTTGCTGTACTCAAATCCAAACTTCTGGCACAATTTCCAGTGAATGATCTTAGCAACACGGTCATGGCGTTGTAGGTAGTCAGTATTTTTATTATTATTATTATTATTATTATTATTATTATTATTATTATTACTACTACTACTACTACTACTACTATTACTACTACTAGAATCATCAATAATTCCATTTTGATTGTTTTTCAATCCAAGGACATCCAACATAATTAAGACATAAGAAGACTAAGCACTTAGTCTTATATACCCCTTCACAGTACTTTACAGCTCTCTCTAAGCGGTTTACAGAGTCAGCATATTTCCCCCAACAATCTGGGTCCTCATTTTACCCACCTCGGAAGGATGGAAGGCTCACCAACCTTGAGCCTGGTGAGAATCAAACTGCCGAACGGCTGGCAGACGGCGGGCAGCACAATTAGCCTGCAATACTGCATTCTAACCACTGCGCCACCACAGGTCTTAGGCATCAACCCAAACCAGTTTAGGTGCCAGTATTATTATTAATAAATAATAATAATAATAATAATAATAATAATAATAATAATAATAATAATATTTGTATACTGCCCTACTCCCGAAGGACTCAGGGCGGTGAACAGCCAAAAGATATAATACATATAATACAAATGTTAAAAAACCATTAAAATACAATTAAATAATTTGGCCCAGAAAACAAAATTTAAAACACCCCAAATTTATAAGACAAATTTAAAATTTAAAAAATTTAAAAACAGTTTAAAAAAGAGGTTAGGCCAGGCCGGCCTGCTGGAATAGGAATGTTTTGAGGGCACGGCGGAAAACGCGCAGGTCTATAATCCTCCGTATCTCCGGGGGGAGCTCGTTCCAGATGGCAAGTGCTCCCACAGAGAAGGCTCTTTCTCTGGGGGCCACCAGTCGACACTGTTTGACTGAGGGCACCCTAAGAAGCCCCTGTCTATGGGAGTGTACTGGTCGGTGAGTGGCTACTGGTGGCAGAAGGCGGTCTCGTAGATACCCCGGTCCTAGGCCATGGAGCTCTCTAAAGGTAATAATCAAAACCTTGAAGCGCACCTAGAAGACCACCGGGAGCCAGTGCAGCTCGCGCAGGAGGGGGGTCACATGGGAGCACCATGTCGCTCCCATAACCACCCGCGCAGCCGCATTCTGGACCAGCTGGAGCCTCCGGGTGCTCCTCAAGGGGAGCCCCATGTAGAGAGCATTGCAGTAGTCCAGGTGGGAAGTGACGAGGGCATGAGTGACCATATTTAACGAGTCCTGATCCAGAAAGGGACACAACTGGCGAATCAGGCGAACCTGATAAAATGCCCTCCCGGCCACAGCCGTCAAATGCCCTTCTAAAGACAGCTGTGAGTCCAGGAGGACACCCAAGTTGCAAACCCTCTCTGTGGGGGCCAACGACTCGCCCCCAATAGTCAGTAATAGCACCAGCTGACTATATCGGGACATCAGAAACCACAGCCACTCGGTCTTGGATGGGTTGAGCCTGAATCTGTTTCTCCCCATCCAGATCCGCACAGCCTCCAGACACCGGGACATCACTTCAAGGGCATCATTGGGGTGGTCTGGGGTGGACATGTACAGCTAAGTGTCATCAGCGTACTGGTGGTACTTCACCCTGAAACCACGGATGATCTCACCCAGCGGCTTCACATAAATGTTGAACAGAAGGGGCGAGAGGATTGACCCTTGTGGCACCCCACATACAAGGGGCCTCGGGGTCGACCTCTGCCCCCCCTGCCAACACAGACTGCGACCAGTCGGAGAGAAAGGAGGAGAACCACCGCAACACGGTGCCCCCCACCCCTAACTTTTCCAGCCGGTGCAGCATGGTCAATGGTATCAAAAGCCACTGAGAGGTCTAATAGGACCAGGACAGAGGAACAACCCCTGTCCCGAGCCCTCCAGAGATCATCCACCAATGCGACCAATGCCGTTTCCATGCTGTACCCAGGCCTGAAGCCCGACTGGAACGGATCCATATAAGCCGATTCATCCAGATACTGAGGGAGCTGTCGTGCTACCACACTCTCAACAACCTTCGCAAGAAAGCGAAGGTTGGAGACTGGACGATAATTAGCCAACACTGCCGGGTCCAGGGAAGGCTTCTTGAGGATAGGTCTCACCACCGCCTCTTTCAAGGCAGCGGGAAAGACACCCTCATTCAAAGAAGCATTTATAATCCCCTGGAGCCAGCCTCATGTAACCTCCTGGGAGGCCAGCACCAACCAGGAGGGACACGGATCCAATAAACATGTGGCCGCACTCAGTCTACCCAGTATCCTACCACGTCTTCGGGAGTCACAGAGTCAAACTCTTCCCAGATAATATTCTCAAGACCTGCCTCCATCATCCCCCCTGAATCTACCCAGTCAGAGTCCAGGTGTTCCCGAATCTGAGCAATTTTGTCATACAGATACTGTGCAAAGTCCTTGGCTCTACCCTCCTAGGGGTCCTCCCGCACTTCCTGGTGGAGCAGGGAATGGGTCACCCTAAACAGGGCGGCCGGGTGATTATCTGATGATGCAATAAGAGTGGAAAAATAATTACATTTTGCCACTTTTATCGCCACCAGGTAGGTCTTAATATAAGACCTTACCAGTGTTCGGTCGGATTCAGAGCGACTGGCCCTCCAACTGCTCTCCAGGTATCTTTTCTGGTGCTTCATCTCCCTCAGCTCCTCGGTGAACCAAGGAGCCAGGTGAGACTGGCGCCGGGTCAGAGGCTGCACAGGCACGACCCAGTCCAAAGCTCCAGTGGCCACCCTATCCCAGGCGGCCATTAGGTCTTCAGTCGAGCCCTGAGCCAGAGCCTCAGGAAATGGCCCAAGCTCCGTCTGGAACCTATCCAGGTCCATCAGGCGCCTGGGGTAGAACCACCTCATCGGTTCCGCCTCCCTGTGGCAGGGTGTGGCGGTTCGAAGGTCAAAGCGAAGGAGGGAGTGATCTGACCATGACAAGGGCTCGATCACTATATCCCCTATCTCAAGATCACTCAACCACTGACCAGAGACAAAAACCAGGTCCAGTGTGTTTCCCCCCATGTGAGTAGGGCCATGAACTAACTGGGTCAGGTCCATGGCCATCATGGAAGCCATGAACTCCCGAGCCATCTCAGACACCTCACCGATGGATGGCAGGTTAAAATCCCCCATGACCATAAACCTGGGGGTATCAATCGCCACCGCGGCTATAACGTTAAGCAGCTCAGGCAGGGCCGCCGCCACGTGGCAGGGAGCCAGGTACATAACTAGCAAGGCCATCTGCGCCCCATGACCCCACTTATTTATTTATTTATTGGTTCAATTTATATGCCGCCCTTCTCTGGAGACTCAGGGCGGCTTACAATGTGTTAAGCAATAGCCTTCATACTTTTGTATATACCTGCTTAGTAGGGCTTTCGCCCCCCCCAGCGGTGTTCTTTTTTATACAAAGTCAGTTTATTGCCCCCACAAACCGGGTCCTCATTTTACCCACCTTAGAAAGGATGGAAGGCTGAGTCAACCTTGAGCCTGATGAGATTTGAACTTGCAGTAATTGCAGACAGCTGGTGCTACTTAACTGCACTTTAGTCTGCTGCGCCACCAAGGCTCTTTTACTTCACAAGGAGGGACTCACATCCGGCCGTCTGAGGAACAGTGGCCTCCCTCGGACCAAGACCCTTTTTAATAACAACCGCCACCCCCCCCTCCCCTCCCCTGTGACCTCGGCTGATGAAATGCACGAAAACCGCATACAACAAAAGAGACTGAGAATTGATTCCAGACAAATCAGCAAATGCGAATTTAGAACCTTGGCATCACATCCAAAGTTCCAACCCACCAGATCTTCTAAAAAGTATTTTCTGTCTTCCCTACGGCAGCTGAAATACTGAACCGTCTTTTTTAGGAAAGTTAGAAGGGTCAGCTTCTCAACATTGTGCCATCTGGTTAATTGCATGTCCAGTGCATACACCATATGCAGCAGTGCTTTGAGTAGACAATGCAATTCAACAAGGTAGGATTTGTTCAAACTTGTTTTGTCCATCTATTTTTCCTTCTATAAGCACACAGATATGCACACACATACAGAGGGAGAGAGAGAGAGAGAGAGAGAGAGAGAAAGAAAGAGAAAGAGAAAGAGAAATAGCTAAGTAAGATTATATCAAAATTTCAGAATCAAAATTTCAATAGCAAGTAATTTAATCGAAGACCAAAAGGTTTATTATATACTGTATACCTTGGTATATCATTTTCCTTCAGCCCTTTCAGTAACTAATAATGATAGAATATCCTCCTTCTCGTCCCCCCTTTTTTATATCCAGTACTCTGAGGTATTAAATAATAATCCAATTATCTTAAATTATATAAACATTAGGGTATTGAAATAACACAATGTATCTATTAACACAATAAAAAAAAGGGGAGGTGCATGATGGGTCCCTTTTCTTTTATGGGTTATTACCAGCCATGATCATTTGTGAGTCATTATCTGTCATGATTTCAGAAAAGAATTAACAGTGAATTTGAGGAGAAATAGACTCCCATGGGTAGAAGAAAACATCACTAACAAAGGAAGGAAGTGTAGCCTAGATTTTTTTTAAAAAAAAACTTAATTCATCCTTAATTCTTTTCATAATTAACCAGAGAGACATGTGTACTTATCCAGGCTTCAGAAACATGACAGAAATTTCAAGCAAGTTTTCCATCTCCAATTCAAAGTTGGCTCAAACGAAAACCTTTGAGCATGGTAATCAAGTGCCTATTACATTATTAAAGGAAAAGAAATGAAAGTTGACAATAATCAAGGAAGCAAAATGAGTTTAAAGATTCAGGGCATGGAATCAGATCAAACTGGGCTTCATTAATAATGCTGCTAAGCCATAAATGTTTTGCTTCACAATATGGCAGCAAAATTTTTACTATCTAGCATATGGGTTGTTTTTATTTTCTAGATTTCTTATTTTTCTATTTACTGGCATATGACTTTAATTTTCTATTTATATCATACACCACACAGAGTTGGCTGGAATGGACTAAGGAAGGAAGGAAGGAGTGAGTTCTGGCCAATCAAACTGAAGTTATAAATTGCAACTGAATGGTTGCATTGTATACAGCATTTTTCACTTGGCTATTGAATTAAATCATTTCCTGAATCCATGCAATAGTTTGAGCCACAAACTTTCTGAATTATAAATTATTTAACCAAAAGTAAAAAAGAGTCCCTCCAGATTTTACTCTGCTAGTTGTTACTGGCATTAGGGGGTGGTGCTCATCTCTGTTTCGGGGCCATTGAGCCAGTGTTGTCCATAGACATTTTCACAGTCATGTGGCCAGTATGTTGTCAGGGAGCAGTGTTAACTTCCCACCAAAGTGGTACCTATTTATCTACTTGCATTTGTATGCTTTCAAACTGCTAGGTTAGCAATAGCTGGGGTGAGGATGGGAGCTCACCCATTGTGTGGTGCTTGGGTCTCAAACCTGCAGTGTCTTAACTGCTGAGCCACTGTGCCACCCACAACAAAAGTCAGCCTGATCCTTATTATGTTATGTGAGAAATGCAGCTGGTAGACCCTAGTCTGATGCAATGTACCATGTCATGACAATCTAACTTCTCACTGTAATTAGAAGACCTTAAAAGTACTCATGGTTGTTCTTCTCAAGGTTTGCATTCTTTCTGTCATTTTCCTAACTCCTACGTGATTTTGTCAGCAAATGATTACAACAAGAGAAAAAGAAATGCTCACTTAATTTCTCTAGAATCTCTTCATCGGTCATCTTGGATTTCTTCCGTTGCCGATCTGTGTTTCTATACAAAGTGCTTGTGTTTGAATTTTCAGGCTGGGGGACTGTTGACTCTTTCACTGAGGCTGGTGAAGCAACAGGCTCTATCACTGAACGTGTGTAAATCTGAAACAAAGAAACAAAGAGCTGAGATTGGTGGACCCCCAAACAAATCCTCAGTGAATTGTCTTGCAGATGACAAGTGATCTTCTGCCCTTCCACAAACACTCCATTCCTTTCCAAACATTTAATTTAACCATTGGGCGAGCAGGGAATGGATTTCAAGACTTCTAAGATGCCTTTCCATTTATGACCAAATGCCAGAGCAAGAGGTCCTCTCCATCTTTTCATGCACTGACAAAATGTTGGCATTGTCAAATCAAAGATTGCAAAGTCTTAGGTCAACAGATTAATTTCAGGGGATGGATACAAACCATTCTTTATCCAAAAAAATATTATGATATCATAAACAAGTTTCTTTGCTGTATTAGGGATTGTCTCCCTCTGAACTGGGCCTTGTGAAAGGAAGGGAAATTCTGCATTTAGTTGCCTCAAATCTATTTGCTTGTATAAAGTAATCCTAGTTCTCAGAAACACTCTTAAGAATGAAATCTGTGCTTAAAAAGGTAACTCAAGTAAGTCAAGAACCTGGAGAACAAGACAGTACCCTTCCTCTCGAACTATATAGGCTAAAAACCTGGAGAAAGCAAAGATTGTGATTTTTAAAAAAAACTAAATTCTGCATCTGCCGCTTTTTTCTTCCTGACCTCCTTCAGCATTCAGCAGTCCGGCTTTGATGGCAACCAAAAGAGCTTACTGATTTAGTATGTTCTGGGCGTGGGGCAATCACAGGGGGTGGTTCATTGTCATCCTCCTCCTCTTCATCTTCTTCATCCTCTTCTTCAGAAACTGGGGGAGCCAGTGGTGGCTCCGAAGCTGTTTTCGTGCTCTGAAGGTAAGAGTTGCAGAAACTGATGAAGCTCCAGCCCAGTTACAAGACTAAGCACCCTACCTCTTTAACTTATCCTATTTTGATGTTTCCACCACCCATCAAGTCCATGCCTCTGCTGTTGAGATTACATGAAATGATTCTCAACTATGGCAACTTGAAGATGCGTGGACTTCAACTTCCAGAATTCCGCAGCCAGCATACTAGCTGGGGAATTCTGGGAGAGGAACTCCAGCATCTTCAAGTTGCTATGGTTGAGAAACACATATATTTTAAAACAAACTTCGTGGGCCAATTGATTGTTAGATATTATGTGCCATCTTCCTTGACAGGAAAACAGGCATCACACTCTTCTCTGGCAAAGATTTACAAGAGCAACCTTGACCTAAGTCTTCTATCTTGCTAAGCCATAAAGTTGTATAATGCTATCTACTTGGTATGGCACAAAGTACAGATGAGTTTGTTTTAACATGTAATTCTTTTGAACCCTGTCTTATAACACTGTAAAACTACAGCCTGTAGAAATGTTGAGAAATGGGGATCCCAAATGATAAGATTATTACTGCAGTGAAAGTTGATAGCATGTGCAGATTGGCAGGGATGGGAGAGGTGTTTAGAGGTACCGCTTTACATTGTTCTCCATATGATATTTTTATTCACAGTTTTCCTAATCTGAGAATTTTTAGATGTATAGAAGATGTTCAGGAAAAGATTGGACAACCATGTGTTTTACTTAATGATGTAAGATCTGCTGCTCGAACAGAAGGTTGAATTAAAAGACCTCCAGGATTCCTTCCAACTCTGTTATTCTATATTATTTTATAGCAATAGCTAAACTGGCTGGGGAATTCTGGGATTTGAAGTCCATATATAGAATATAGAATAACAGGATTGGAAGGGATATTTAGAGGTCAAGTCCCTTACACACAAGCAAGAATCATGCAAATTTTAATCACAATTTAAACACAAGAATTAAAGTAAGCTACCAAATCTTGGAAATTGTGGTCGGAACTTTCAGCTCCATTTTATTAGAGTTTATTAAGGCCGAAAGTTTCTTAGAATGTATTGAATTTGTTCATGGCGCTCCATGGCATAGGGCCTAGCTATCTTCGAGACCGCCTGCTGCTACCGACGACCTCCCAGCGACCCGTGCGCTCCCACAGAGAGGGCCTCCTCGGGGTGCCATCAGCCAAACAATGTAGGCTGGTGACTCCCAGGGGGAGGGCCTTCTCTGTGGGGGCACCTACCCTCTGGAATCAGTTGCCCCCAGAGATAAGGAGAATCCAAGACCTCAGTGCCTTCCGCCGTGCCCTTAAAACCCACTTTTTCCAGCAAGCCGGGCTGGCTTAAGAAGAAATTTTTAAATGTTTTAATTGGCTTGTGATTTTTAATTTTTGGGCCAAATTTATATATATTTTAACTGTTTCTTAATATTTGTATTTCATGTTCTTAATTCTGGCTGTACACCGCCCTGAGTCCTCAGGGAGAAGGGCGGTATATAAATTGGAAATAAAATAAAATAAAATAAAATAAAATAAAATAAAATAAAATAAATTCTATAAGCAACACTGAACAGTATTAAATATTTTTGGAAAAATGTATATTTATGTGCATTGTCCACTATAGTAATATAGACAAAATTGCATTGGTAGGTGCCCCTAAAACCTATTCTTTGAACAACACCCAATTTCAAAGAGATAAGCTACAGTTCAATTTATAAAGCTACGTGCCTCCCTGGGAGTGGCAGTTACTGCAAATAACACTTCAAAGAAATGCTGAGCTGCATACAATGTTCTTAGACTTGTTTTTAAATAACTTCTTTTAGACTGTTATAAAAAATAATGTATGTTTCTGTGTACTAATGCAATGATGGTAAACCTTTTGGGCTTGGAATGTCAAAAATTAAAAAAAAATGCTCAACTTGATTATGCTGACATATTAACCCCCCCACCCCAAACAAATGAGAAACAATTCTCTATTTTCCAGCCTCCATCTAGGCCACTCTGAACAGTATTCTCGATGTGTTAGAGCTGAGCTGGGCCTTAAATAAAGGCCCAGACTTTGACGTCAGCCCTAATTCACTGCTGCCACTCAAAAAGGCTGCTTCATCATATCATTCCCCAGATGCTACCCAGGATCTGCCACGTGCCATTTACCTTCAAGCAATTTTCTCTTTCTGTTTGCAGACCCCTGTGGCCTACCCAGGGCTCCTCTGAGTTGCACAAGGTCTTTTGTCTGGAAACTTCAGAGAAAGCTCTTCCATGGCCTCTGCAGGCTCCAAAAACTGTGTGAAAGCACACCCTGTTCTTGTGCAAATTCCAGAGGCTATGCGAGAACACATGCCATTCTCTGCTGCCATCAAAACTCACACAAGTACAGGGCATGCTTTAGAGATTAATTGTTGTCAGGCGTTGAAAGTTGACGTGTCACCTAAAATGTCATGTTGTATCACCTTTGACATACAAGTCAGATTCACCATCATTGAACTAGTGCAACTGTTCTCACAAGAAATATATTGGTCCAATAACATTCTAATATTCCAGATTTTTAAACTGTGTTTTCTTCTATATTGAAAATTTTTATATAAGTCTAAATAAGTGAGTATAGACACAGTTAGATAAGATTAAACTCATACAACAAATCTCAAAATTATGTGCCACAATCTGAAGTTGAAGTATGCATTGTTCACCTTTAAACTTTTTTTAAATATTAAAAAGAACACAGTATCCGAAAGCCCTATGACAGAAATAAGAAACTTGTGACATATATCAGTGACTGTCAATGGATTTGTACTACATATGTGGCAAAAGTATATGAACCTCTGCTTTCAGTAAGCGAAGTGTCCTCCTTGGGCAGCAATAACTGCAACTAAATGTATCTAATGACTGTTGATCAATCCTGCACATTGGCTTGGAGGAATTTTAGCCCATTTCTCTTACAGAACAGCTTCAACTCAGGGATGCTGGAAAGTTTCCACACAGGAACTACCCTCCTTCCATAACATTTCTATAGAATTGCCCATTCCAAAACATTAATTTTTACTTTAGCATTAATCATTCTTAGCTGTACTACTTTGTATTTTAGGTCATTGTATTGTTGCATGACCCACTTTCTCTTGAGCTTCAGTTCATGGATGTCTAGTTCATAGGTCCATCAATGATGGCAAGTCATCCTGGTCCAGAGAAAGCAAGCACATCCAAGCCAAATTTCACAGAAGGGATAAGGTTCTTATACTGAAATCTAGTATTTGCCCTTTGCCAAACAACACTTTTCATTCAAGCAAGAGAATTCTCTTTTGATCTCATCCATCCATCGAACATTTTTCCAATAGCCTTATAATCTTTCACAAACTGTAGACAGGAAGCAATGATATTTTTTTGAGAGTAGTGGCTTTCTCCTTGCAATACTGTCATGCACACCATTACTGTTCAGTGTTCTTTTGATGGTGGTTTCATGAACAGTAGCATTTGCCAATGCAAGGCAGGTCTTTAGCTTCTTAAGATATTGCTCTAGGGGTTTTTGAGACCTCCCAGAGTATTACATGCCTTACTCTTGGTGTGATCTTGACTAGTTGACCACTCCTGGGGAAGGTAACAAAAGTGTTGAATTGCTACTATTTGTACACAATCTTCCTGATAGTGGATTGATGGAGTCCAACTCTTCAAAAGTAGTTTTGTAACCTTTTCCAGCCAGCTGGACATCAATAACTGTTTTTCAGAAGTCCTCAGAAATCTCCTTTGTTCAAGCCATGATACACTTTCACATGCCTATGAAGATCAGACTTTAATAGTGAATACCGAGAGTTGTGTTCTTTAAAGAATGCTGGACCTTCCACATTCACATCTGATAATCATTCCAATGATTGATGCATCTGATTCTAATTTCCCCTTCAAATTAACTGATAATTCTAAAGGTTCACCTACTTTTGCCACACACAAATAGTAGCTTTGGATCATTTTCCTCATTGAATAAATGAGCAAGTATAATATTTATGGTTCATTTATTTAATTGGATTCTCTTTATCTAATTTTAAGACTTATACAATCAGATTGTGTTTTAGGCCACTTTTATGCAGAAATATTAAAAATTCAAGAGTTCACAAACTTTAAAGCAACACTTTTCATATATGTTATTTCCCAGATGAAGTACATAGAAATCAGATTGACTATATTATTGGCAGAAGGAGGTGGAAGAGCTCAATTATTAACAACAAAGATACGGGCAGGACCAACTGTAGAACAGATTAGATATTGCTCATATGCAATTTCCCAGTTAAGGTAAAGTGGAAGAAAAAAGCCAAGCAGTTTCCATTATATGACCTTGAGCACATACACACCATTTTTAAGGAGAATATTAGGAAAGCTTTGAAGCTTTGGACCTCATTGATAAGGGTTCAGAGGCACTAAGGAATAAACTTAAAGAATTTGTTAAGAATGAATGTGTAAACAGATTGCCAAAGATCAAGAAACAGAAGAAAGCAAATTGTATGTCAGACCAAATAGTGAAAATTGCAAAAAAGAAAAGAGATAAAGCAACACTCCCTCCCCCCACCCCCATAATCACAGGAACAGACAAGGAAGAATTTTAAATAGCTGTTAGAAGAGACAAAACTGTAAATGAAAATGGAAACGGACATGTAAAAATGGGGTAAGTCTTCCAAAAAAATCCCCAAAATGAGAAATGAGTTCCAACTTCAAAATAGTACACTAAAGGACACCAATAGACAGTTCTTTACGAGAAAAACTATGTTTAGTTGATGATGGCAAAGGATCAGAAGGAGACTGGTAGGACTTTTTCTAACTAAATTTTTTATTTCAAGTTGCAAGCTTTTGTGAATTGCAGCTCACTTCAATAGAGGAACAGATAGTTACTGTTCCAAAGAAGATAAAAAAAAAGATGGAAAGAATACACTGAAACTATGTACAATAGAGATTTTAACATCGCAGATGCCATAGAAGATACTCCTACTTACAAGAACATCTAGTACTAGAAGATGAAGTTAGATCAGCACTCTGGCCAGAACCAGTCAGAACCATCCATTACATTGATGGAATATCTACAGAAATACATGAAACAACAGAAGAAAACTAAATAATGGTTCTAACTAACCTGTGGTAGCAAATCTGGAAGAAAAAACTCCAGTATCTAACGAACTGGAAGGTACTGATCTACATACTAATTGCAAAGAAAAGGTTTTAGCAGAATCTGCAAACTACAGTACACTATCCTTAATTTCACATGCTAGTAAAATAATGTTTAGGATCATCCAATGCAGATTAGAGTCCTGGTATATTCCAGGAAAGGAATAGGCCAGATGTTCAAGCTAGATTTAGAAAAGGCTTAGGAACATGAGAAATGCACGCAGGACATTGAGAAAGCCAAAGAATACCAAAATAAGTCAATGTGTACTTAATTGATTTAAAAAGGGTCTTTTAATTGTGTTTGTCATGTCATGCTGTAGAAAATATTTAGAAAATTGAGAATTCCAGACCATCTCCTGGATGAAACATAAATAACCTGTGTTATGCTAATGACATTCACAATAAAAAAAAAAGACTAAGATTAAATGTAAATATAAATTAATGCAAACTAATTTTCTTTGTGGCACTCTATGTAATTGAAAATTTACTTTGAAGAAGCAGGATAGAAAAGGGATGATGCTTTTGAACTTTGATATTGAAGAAGACTCTTGAAAATACTGTGGATAGCCAAGAAAATAAAAAATGGGTCAGCAAAGAAATCAACCAGAATTCATTCAAGGCATAATGTTACTTTATTCAAGGCATAATGTTACCATTAACCAGTATGTTCTCAATTTTAAACACTTACGTATGTACTTACACTGAACAGCATAGGAAGCCAAGAGTACAGCAGTATTATAAGGACAGGGCAATCTGTAAAAGGTAAAAAACAAAACCTAAAAATTTCCACTATGAACTATAATATTTAAATCCAAACTGTTTTATCAATTTATTTAAATTAGGCAAACCTATTGAACTGTGTGGATATATTTCCTTACGAAAACTTTGTACAGAACACATATCTTTCATGAGCTGAATCATGATATACTTTCCTATTTTTAAAGATAAAAATATGCCTATCAATTGATATTTAAATGATTAAAAGTATTCATTTAATTATTCTGGATATGAATAAACTGATATGTGCAGGTATTCCTCATTTAATAACCACAAATAAAATAAAATAAAATAAAATAAAATAAAATAAAATAAAATAAAATCCCATTTGCCACTAACAAATTCATCTCCCATCTGTTGACTTTATAACTTGAGTTTTGTTTCTTGCTCAGCCTCTCTCATTCTGGAACACACCTGGTTTGGGGAAATCTACATTTCGTTGTACCTATCAATTTTTAAAATGTAGTCAAGTTTGCAAAAATTTCCTATCTATGGAAACATTTGTGCTTTGTAGACGTGACTATTTCATAGAAGCTTTGCAATATGCCTCTCTTATCTGCTGCCACAGTATAACCTTTGTTGTCTAGCTGGCAGGGCAAAATGAAGTCATGCAACATGAAAAATGTCCCTGATCAGTCATTTAGCATTAAAAGCAGAACCACTTACATGTAATGCAAAATTAGTATGGACTACGCTCAATATATTGGTAGATTCTCTTGCTAATGTGCATTCTAATCATTTAAACAAACGTTTTCATGAAATAGTTCGTTTTTACCCTGGTATACAGCAAATTAAGCCAGAAAACAGGGAATTCCAGAACATAGAAATTCATTAGCAACCAAGAGAGGGTACTTACCGAGGGATGGGCTGCAATATAGCCATGGGCACTTTTATCTGCAATGGGCAAAAGAAAATCTATGATAGTTTGGTAGATTATAAATGGTTATTAGAAATGAAGAGGGAAGAGCATTTCAGGTTTCAGGGTCTACCTAGATGGTGAAGGTTGATTCTGCCACAAAATGATGTAGCATGGAAAGCTTTCGTTCAGTGGACCAGCTTGTCAATTAAATCTTCTTTCACCACATTTTATTTCATTGGCTATCCCAATTATAATCTTCCTTGTTTCCATCAAGATAGTACTATCTATCCCAAAGGGTGTCCAACAGTGGCAACTTTAAGACTTGTGGATTTCAACTCCCAAAATTCCTCAACCAGGTCTTAAAGTTGTCAAGGTTGGACACCCCTGGTTTGTCCTCTCAGCTTCTCCAATCTTCCTTATTCTCCATATTTGCTATTTTTATTTCCTCCACTCAGATATAAATAGCAAATATGGAGAATCATATGTGGGTGGGGGAGATATGTCTATTTTTATCCCCCCTCCCCCAGATTATATTTTTTATCCCACTTGTAATCAACAAATCCTGGATTTGAACTTCTCCCATTGCTCCCATTGCTAGGGACAAGATTGTGCAATCTATAGTTCCCAACTACATGCCATCTTCATCCCCATATTCCAGAGCCTCCCATTACAAAACTATCTTCTTGAGGTTGGCCTGATGTCTACTCTCCACCCCTTCCCCTCTATTTATTTGATCATGCTTTTTGTCTATCATCTTTTCTCTAACTGTTTCTTCTGCAGCCCTGTCCATACTGGTGACATTGCTGTGTTCAATCCTAGTAAATTACAAGCTATCTTTATTTTAAAGCAACCACTGGAGATTCAGAGCTATTTCACCAGGGGAAAAAGATAGCAAAACACTAAATATGATGCAACCATAACCTATGGGTCTGTTTGGACTTTATACTGCAATTGAAGAGAAGAGGAAGAACATAGTTCAAGGTGTTAAAGGAAATCCTTTAACATGTCCAGCATGGACATTGTTGAGTCACATTTATGCAGGGATATGAGGGCCTCATGGTGGACAAGACTGAAAAAAGTGGGCTTGATCAGAGTCCAATGTAGGCAAGTCTACCAGTTTTGTCTCCTTCTGACAACTTGTTCTGGTTTTTCTCTTTCCCTGGTAGCAAGTTGTCAAGGATGGAAGAAATAACTTCAGAGGTGGTATTCAGCAGGTTCTGACCAGTTCTGGAGAACCAGTAGCAGAAATTTTGAGTAGTTCAGAGAACCAGTAGTAAAAATCCCGCTCCCAACTATTCTCTGCCTCCCAAGTCCCAACTGATCAGGAGGAAATGGGGATTATCAGTAACCTTCCCCTGGACTGGGGAGGGAATGGAGATTTTCAGTCTTCAGTCCTGCCCACACTGCTTGAAGTCTTAGCCGAACTGACGGTTGAGCTCCCCAACCTGATGGTTGTGGGAGATTTTAATCTCCCGTCAGCCAGTGAGACATCTGAGTTGGTCTGGGAGTTCATGGCCTCCATGATGGCCATGGACCTGACTCAGGTTGTACAGGGCCCAACTCACAGTGGTGGACACACACTCGACCTGATTTTTATCTCTGGGCAGTGGATACTCGGGGTAGGAGTGAACTTTCTGTTCAACCCCTGTCATGGACTGACCATTCCCTCCTTAAACTAGACTTTCCATCCACCAACCCCCACTGCTGGGAGGCGGAACCGATTCGTTGGTTCTGCCCCAGGCGCCTGATGGACCCTGATAGGTTCCTGACGGAGCTTGGGACATTTTCCACTGACCTATCCCATGATTTGCCAGAGGCCCTGGTGGAGGCCTGGGAACAGGCTGCCACCAGGACACTGGATCGAATCCCCCCTTTGCGGCCTCTCCCCTGACAGGGATCCCGGGTAGCTCCATGGTTTTCTGTGGAGCTTAGGGAGATGAAGCGTCGAAAGAGATGCCTAGAGGGCCATTGGAGATCTTCCCGTTCTGAATCTGATCGAACACAGTTAAGAACCCATATTAGGTCTTACCTTGTGGTGATGGAAGCGGCGAAACGTGACTATTTCGCTGCTCTCATCGCGTCTGCAGAAAATCACCCAGCAGCCTTGTTCCATGTGACCCGCTCTCTTCTCCATCAGGGAGCGAGGGAGGACCCCTTGCAAGGCAGTGCTGAGGATTTTGCTCAATTTCTGCAAGACAAAATAGCTCAGATCCAGACGGGTTTAGACTCTGACTGGGCAGGATCCGACGAGGAGGTGAGAGCTAGTCTTGAAGCTAACATCTGGGTTGACTTTGACCCTGTTCCTATAGATGAAGTGGACAGGATTGTGGGTAGATTGGGGGCCTCCACATGTTTGTTGGACTCTTGTCCCTCCTGGCTTGTTGCGGCAACCAGAGAGGTGACTGGAGACTGGATCCAGGCGATTGTCAACGCTTCATTGAGGGATGGGGTCTTCCCCGCCGTACTTAAGGAGGCAGTGGTTCGCCCCCTTCTCAAGAAGCCTGCCCTGGATCCGGCTTCCTTGAACAACTTTTGTCCCGTCTCCAACCTTTGCTTTATGGTGAAGGTTGTTGAGTCTGTGGTGGCACACCAACTTCCACAATTCCTGGAGGAAACGGATTATCTAGACCCATACCAATCGGGTTTCAGGCGCAGACACAGCACGGAAACGGCATTGGTTGCCCTGGTGAATGACTCTGGCGGGGCCGGGATGGAGGTTATTCCTCCATCCTGGTGCTACTTGACCTCTCAGCGGCCTTCGATACCATCGACCATGGTATCCTACTGCGACGACTCCGGGGGTTGGGGGTGGGAGGCACTGTTCTACAGTGGTTCTCCTCCTACCTCTCGGGCCGTACACAGTTTGTTTGGGCGGGGGGTCAGAGATCCTCCCCGAGGCCCCGAGGCCCCTCAACCCTGTAGGGTGCCGCAGGGGTCGGTTCTCTCCCCCCTGCTCTTTAACATCTACATGAAGCCACTGGGTGAGATTATTCGCAGTTTTGTGGTGAGGTATCATCAGTATGCTGATGATACCCAACTTTACATCTCCACCCCGGACTAACCCAGGGATGCACTTTCTAAGAGCCTGGAGGTGGTACGGATCTGGATGGGTAGGAACAGGCTCAGACTCAACCCCTCCAAGACTGAGTGGCTGTGGATGCCGGCTTCTCATGATGTAGTGTCCCCATCACTTCGGATGGGAGGGGAGTTACTTATTCCCTCTGAAAGGGTTCACAATCTTGGCATCCTCCTTGACTCATGGCTGTCCTTAGTGGACCATCTGACGGCCGTGACAAGGGGGGCCTTTGCACAGGTTCACCTGGTGCACCAATTGTGCCCTTTCCTAGACAGGGATGCCCTCCGTACAGTCACTCATGCTCTCATTATCTCTCGGTTGGATTACTGCAATGCCCTCTACATAGGGCTGCCCTTGAGGTGTACCTGGAGGTTCCAGCTGGTCCAGAATGCGGCCGCGTGGGTTGTTACGGGAGCTTCCCATTACTCCCGTGTAACACCACTCCTGCGCAAGCTGCACTAGTTGCCGGTGGTCCTTCAGATCTGTTTCAAGGTGCTGGTGCTTACTTATAAAGCCCTTCATGGCATGGGCCCGGGGTACTTGCAGGACCACTTCCTACCGGCCTCCCACCGCCCAGTGCGCTCACATAGGATTGCCCTCCTCCGGGTGCCATCGGCCAGACAATGTCGGCTGGTGGCGCCCAAGATGAGGGCATTCTCTGTGGTCGCACTGACCCTCTGGAATGAGTTACCCACTGGGCTCCGGACGGCCCCCGACCTCCACACTTTCTGCGGCGACCTGAAGACATGGCTTTTTCAGCAAATTCCCTGATCTGCCGGGAGTTTTAATTGCTTGGGGATTTTAAATTGGATTATTTTAATATCATTTTATTGTCATGTTGTTTTATCATGTGAGCCGCCCTGAGTCCTACGGGAGAAGGGCGGCATATAAATACGATAAATAAATAAATAAATAAATAAATAAATAAATAAATAAATAAATTTTACGGTATCCTTCCCCTGCTACACCCACCAAGCCATACCCACAGAACCGGTAGTAAAAAAAATTTGAAACCCACCACTGAATAACTCTTACTAAAAGGTAGAGTAGATCATTTGCAGGAAATGTGCAACATTCAGCTCAGGTCTATAAGACCCAGGGTCCTGAAGGTTGAAGGTTTGTTTCCAACAACTCTCAGGTTAATAATCTCCTTAGTTTAACATTATTATGTCTGAATCCAGAGAATCTATGGTTAGTTTTAATTACATTTTACGAAAACAGTCCACCTTAAATCCAGGGTTTTATGAAAGTGACTTTACAGGTCATCCTAGACTTACACCCTTGTTTAGTAACTGTTCAAACCATTCAAAGTTACAATGAAAGAAGTGACTTGTAACTGGTCCTCACAGATCGTTGTAGAATCCCTATGTGATCAAAATTCAGGTGCCTGGCAATCAGCTTGTATTTACAACAGTTGCAGCATCACAGGTTCACGTGATTCAACAACATGAATTTCAATGTGGAGAAAAGCAAGGTTTTACACCTGGGCAGGAAAAAACCAAATACAGGTTAGGCAAAACCTGGCTCAAAAACAGTAACTGTGAGAGGGACCTTGGACTCCTAGTAAAAGCTAATACAATCCTTGGTTGTATAAACAGAGGCACAAAATCAAAATCATGTGAAGTATTAATAGCACTTTATAAAGCCTTAGTAAGGCCACATCTGGAATACTGCATCCAATTTTGGTCACCACATTATAAAAAAAGATGTTGAGACTTTGGGAAAAAGTGCAAAGAAGAGCAACTAAGGTGATTAAAGGCCTGGAAACTAAAAGATATGAAGAACTGTTGCAGGATTTGGGTTTAGCTAGGGAAAAGAAGGACTAGGGGTGACATGACAGCAGTATTCCAGTATTTGAGAGGTTGCCACAAAGAGGAGGGGGTCAACTTATTTTCCAAAGTACCAGAGGGTGGGACAAGAAACAATGGATGGAAACTAATCAAGGAGAGAAGCAACCTGCAATTAAGGAGAAACTTCCTAACAGTGAGGACAATTAACCAGAGGAACAGCTTGCCTTCAGAAGTTGTGGGTACTTCATAACTGGAGGTTTTTAAGAACAGACAGGGCACTCACTTTTCAGAAATGGTATAGGGTCTCATGCTTGAGCAGGGGGCTGGACTAGAAGACCTCCAAGGTCCCTTTCAGCTCTATTCTCATTGATTGATTGATTGATTGTTGATTCATTCATTCAATCATTCATTCATTCATTCATTCATTCATTCATTCATTCATTCATTCATTCATTCATTCCCATTTGTGACCTTCTCAGCTGGCTTGCGACAAGTAAAGTCAATGGAGGAAGCCAGATTTGCTTAACTACAGAGTAGTGACTTAACATCTACAGGGATTCTCTTAACAACCATGGCAGAAAAGGTCATAAAAGTGATTCACTTAACAAGCACCCTGCTTAGCAATGGAAATTCTGGCCCCAATTGTGGTCATAATCAAAGGGCTACTGGTAAAATAAATCCTAACTAAAAGTTTTGGCCACATAGGTCTTCTGAAGTTCTGAAATATGACACATATGCGTGGAAACTAAAATTATCACTCATCTGGCCAAAAGGTAGTTGTACTCCTAGACAGGGACTGCACACACTGGGTTTAGCCATTTGGGGGGTGGGGGGTTTCGTAGCATAATATGTGAACGCAGCTAGACCATCTCTAAACTATGCTTGTTATCTGCCCTCAAGTCAGTGTTGACTCCTAGTGACTAGATAGATATTCCTCATGACAAAGTTTTCATACCAATGTGGACATCCAGCTGCAACCTTTTCTTCTCACTCGCGATGGCACATGACCTTTGCTTACCTCCTGATGTAAAACTCATATATTTCTGATTGTTGACCGTCTCTTTGGAATCGTAGAATTTGAGAACGTCCAGAACAGCTTGTGGGTTTTTCTTCTGTTCCAGTTTGGTAATGTTGGAAGTCTGTAATAGCCTGGCCCACTGCTCAGGAATGCCCTGCAAAAGCCCAACAAGACAGATGAGGCCTCAGAGAATTCTGCCCAAGCTCAGGGAGATGTTCTGCTAAAACAGTTCCTTAACCAGAAGCCCAGGTTTCCTGTAAGCCTGTAAGCCATTAAAGCTAGACAGTTTACAGCAGCTGCAATCATTGTCTCATCCTCTCTTAAAACAAAGAGCTAATACCTGGATCCAATTTAAAAAACAAAACAAAGAAATTTATGATTGTGGCAAGAAAAGAAAAGTGCATGAAATTCATCCTGAAATCAATTATTGCAGGAAAATGGAACTAACTCCCTGCGATTCAGAGTTGATATGTGCCCCCTCTCGACTAATTTAGAAGTAAACTTGGTGGGCTTTAGGAACCTTACACTGGATATTTGATGTAGAGCTTTAAAAATGTGCTTTCTTCAAACAATAAGAGCAGATCCAATTTGTGTAGGAGATACCTCCTGGCTGGAGGAATAGGAGATACAGGTGAAACTCGAAAAATTAGAATATCGTGCAAAAGTTCATTTATTTCAGTAATGCAACTTAAAAGGTGAAACTAATATATGAGACAGACTCATTACATGCAAAGCGAGATAGTTCAAGCCTTGATTTGTCATAATTTTGATGATTATGGCTTACAGCTCAGGAAAACCCCAAATTCACAATCTCAGAAAATTAGAATATTACATGAAATCAATAAAACAAGGATTGTACATAGAATAATATTGGACCTCTGAAAAGTATAAGCATGCACATGTACTCAGTACTTGGTTTGGGCCCCTTTTGCATCAATTACTACCTTAATGCGGCGTGGCATGGATGATATCAGCCTGTGGCACTGCTGAGGTGTTATGGAAGATCAGGATGCTTCAATAGCGGCCTTCAACTCTTCTGCATTGTTCGGTCTCATGTCTCTCATCTTTCTCTTGGCAATGCCCCATAGATTCTCTATGGGGTTCAGGTCAGGTGAGTTTGCTGGCCAATCAAGCACAGTAATCCCATGGTCATTGAATCAGGTTTTGGTACTTTTGGCAGTGTGGGCAGGTGCCAAGTCCTGCTGGAAAATGAAGTCAGCATCCCCATAAAGCTCGTCTGCAGAAGGAAGCATGAAGTGCTCCAAAATCTCCTGGTAGACAACTGCATTGACCCTGGACTTAATGAAGCACAGTGGACAACACCAGCAGATGACATGGCTCCCCAAATCAACACAGACTGTGGAAACTTCACACTGGACTTCAAGCATCTTGCAGTGTATGCCTCTCCATTCTTCCTCCAGATTCTGGGTCCTTGGTTTCCAAATGAGATGCAAAAGTTGCTCTCATCAGAAAAGAGGACTTTAGACCACTGAGCAACAGACCAGTTCTTCTTTTCTTTAGCCCAGGTAAGACGCTTCTGATGTTGTTTGTTGTTCAGGAGTGGCTTGACAAGAGGAATACGACATTTGAAGCCCATGTCCAGGATCCATCTGTGTGTTGTGGCTCTTGATGTACTGACTCCAGCCTCAGTCCTCTCCTTGTGACAGTCCCCAACATTTTTGAATGGCGTTTTCCTGACAATCCTCTCCAGGCTGCGGTCATCCCTGCTGCTTGTGCACCTTTTTCTTCCACACTTTCCCCTTCCACATAACTTTCTATTAATGTGCTTTGATACAGCACTTTGGGAACATCCAGCTTCTTTTGCAATTACCTTTTAAGGCTTTCCCTCCTTATGGAGGGTGTCAATGATGGTTTTCTGCACAACTGTCAGGTCAGCAGTCTTTCCCATGATTGTGATTCCTACTGAACCAGACTGAGAGACCATTTAAAGGCTCAGGAACCCTTTGCAGGTGTTATGGCTTAATTAGCTGATTAGAGTGGGACACTTTGAGCCTAGAATATTGAACCTTTTCACAATATTCTGAGATTGTGAATTTGGGGTTTTCATGAGCTGTAAGCCATAATCATCAAAAGTATGACAAATCAAGGCTTGAACTATCTCGCTTTGCATGTAATGAGTCTATCTCATATATTAGTTTCACCTTTTAAGTTGCATTACTGAAATAAATGAACTTTTGCACGATATTCTAATTTTTCGAGTTTCACCTGTACATGCTGGGGTAGGAAGCACCTCCTGGCTTGGACTTCGGGGACCATATCCTAGATGTGAAAGGGGACACATCACATCTTACTTGTTCATTGCACGCTGCAGCTCATGCTGTGCCCACCAACATTAGAGGCTCCCCCGCCCCCCCCCCAAAAGCAGTCTATCATAGAATCATTGGGCTACTCAAAATAAGAGACCTTAGACCATACTGTGCAAATGGTTGTTCCATCTATTTTTGAAAACCTTCAGTGATCCACAACCCCAGGAGGCAAGCTATTCCACCAATTAATCGTTTTCACTGTCAGGAAATTTCTCCTTACTTCTAGGTTGGATCTCTCTTTGATGAGCTTCTTTCAGGGGGTTTAAGAAGTGTTTAAAAACATCCAGTATAATTTCCTCCCCTCTGACAACAACCATTTCTTTCTGCTTTCTATGTCAGTGATGAAGACACCAGCAGTAGGTTGTTGTAACTGCCATTCTCTTGTTTCTGCCACTGCCACCCCCTTGGTTTGTCTCACTAGCCCTCAATGACATTTTGCAACCCACAGCCCCATTTTCTTCATTGCCGGATTCAGTTTAGGGTTCGATTATTTCTGTTCTAAGAGGTTTTTCTGCAAAAATGAGAGATGAGATGGTGCTTGGTGGGAAGGGCAGTCCGTGATGGGAGAGTGAGGAGGAAAGCAAACAACAAACTCTACTGCACACACATGAAGCCTGCGATTGCAGCACTAAAACATCTCAAAGAAGCCACTTATTTTGGGCCTGTGACGCACCTCAGAGAGTTTCCCTGTATACATCTGTGAGCCACAGAGAGCTGGCTGCAATGGATGTAAATAAAGAAAGAAAAGAAAGTTAAAACAGAAGGTGGGGGGGAAATCAGAAGGTGGGAAAGAGATGGAACCCAGTGGATCAATATGTTTCCTATCTAATTGAGGGAAGTAACAAACACAAGGGGTCATTCACAAGTTACTGGGGATGGGAGAACATTTTGAAAAAAAAATAGAGAAAAAATATCACAGCCCAAAGTTGGAAGCATAATTTTCTCGCTTGGAAAGAACTGTGGGGCTCTGGCTAATTTCATTTCTGGTTTGAGGCTGACTAAAGGGTCATTCATTTAAGTAGCCCTATGGATGGCTTGATTTACAAAAACAGGAGGGATTGGGGTTGAACGGATGAGACTCTTTCTTTTTACTCCTTCAATCAGAATTAATTTAAATTTACATTAAATAAAGTATATAATTTGATGCCAACGTGTCACTTCCCCTAGTGCTTAAAATCAGCACTGCCTGGTTTTTAAAAATTCATTTAGTACTTTTTAAAAAAGAGAACCTGGCATTCTTAGCCCCTCTTTGAGGGAGATGGGCAGTTTAGAAATATGAAATATGAATTAATTAATTCCGAAAGGAAAGGAACCAGCCTGTAAAAGCATCTTTATTTAGAATGCTTATGAGCCTTATTTGGGCATTCTTAGTAAGCAAAAAATAGGGGGCAGCAGGAGAAATTGAGGAAAGAATCAGCCATGAAATTCCCAAAGGTGACTTTCTTGGTTTTTTTCCTTGAAAATGTCTCACTTCTCATCCAAGAAGCTTCTTCACTTCTGCAAGCAAACTTCAGTTCAGTTCTGTTCCAAACTTCAGTTCTTCAAGGAAAAAAAACAAGAAAGTCCAGTTACCTTTTGGAAAAGCATGACCTGGATGATGGATATATTAAGCCATGCAAGTGTCTTCTCATGGTGCCCATGAAGTCCATTTAGCAAGAGCCCCGTGTGTTCTAAACTTTCAGAAAGTGCCCACCAGCACTAAATTTTTGCCTTCCATAGTCCAGGAAGCTATGACATCATTGCTTTAGTTCAAGATTGCTGTTTTCCACTTCAGTACTGAATCTGGGTTCTTCTACATATAAGACAGATGTTTGAATACTTCAAGGCTACCAAAGCTGGACCATCACTATGAATACAGAAAACTCTTATCTGCTCATTGTGGTCATTCAGAATACCAAATCCAGTCACAAAGAATCAGGACTACACATTAAATTCCAATTAAGCTGATTTATTGCTCACACTTATACTCAAGAATCTAGTCAACTGACAGTCAGCACTAAATTGAGTTAAATAAGAGTTAGATAAGACAGATAAGAGTAAATGGAATTCAAGAGGGGTTGGACTTGGAGCGTTTATGGACATGTAACGATTCCAGGCTTAGTTCTCTCTTGACTCTGTCCCCAGGATATGCCTCTTCTCTTACAATGCTTGCCCATATTAACACCAAATTATACTGTTTCATTCTCTGATCTTTTATTCTAGACATAACTTCTTCTTAAAATCCAGGTTCTCCCTTTTATGTCAAGGCAACAATATTATGGCAACAATATAGAGCTCAACACTGGAGAAAGTTGTTTCCCCTATTCATCTTTCATCAATTTGTTCAGTGTTTTGTGTCCTGATTTTTGTTGTTCACAGTGGTGCCAAGCAACAATGAAATGGCAATGGGACATGCACAATCACAAACAACCTCATGCCACCTGATGTTCATGATTGAAAGCCAAACTTCAGAGCAAGTGTCCTCAGTTATGATTTTTGAATGTAGCTATGAACAATGCAAGCAATTCAGCCAGGACAGTGATTGGGCCTGAGTGTCAAAAAGAAAGAAAGAAAGAAAGAAAAGAAACAAAAAATCCCTGAGCACATTGCACACAACTCATGATGCTTAACACAGACAGAATGATGGCTATCCTCTGAAATGAAGGAGAAGCATTTGCACAGATTTAGAATATCCCCCACTCCCATCCACCTCCACTTAAGAGAAAGAATATGAAATGCAGGAAAAATATTTTTTGCCAAAAGTCCTTAGCAGAAGAATCCTTGCTGCAATAAACTTATCATTAGTTTTTTAAAAAATCAGATCAGTCCTACAGAAAAACTCATTTAGCACAATGATCACAGTGCCTTGGTCAGACCCACAAAAATGTTTTAATTTTAAAAAAGAATCAGAAGGAATAAAAATGAAGTTATTTATTTATTTTCATGCCTTTTAATAAAAGCAGACAAGACACATACAATATGGAAACATCATCAAATATATGTAATGTATCGTCCATTGTGAATGCTAAAATTTAGTGACTTTGGAGATATGCAACAGGCATCCAAGCCAATTGATAGGAACTAATTATTATTACAAAATTATATATATATATATATATAGTCAAGTTTCCGAAAGATGCCCTAATTAATTAAAGCAAAGCTTTCAAGTTGCTATATATATATATATTGTCTTCAATGAAAATATTGAAAAGCATACGAAGTAATTTTAATAGTACTATTTTTAATAGTAGTGTTAATCTCTTTTAATATTATATCAGCCTGCTCCATCGGATCTTGCAAGGGGAGTCTGCTGTGGCTACCATTGGCCATGAGCTACTTTGGTGGGTCACAGGAGATGTGCTTTCTCAGCTATGATGCCAGTTTTATAGAATATCCTTCCCCCCAAAAGTATTAGAGATATATTTGAAAGGTCTCTAAATTAAATCCACTAATTTGTTGACCAGCTGTGCTCCAAAGATGATAAAAAATCCTCTCAAATTACTTTTGAGATGCAAACATGTGGAGAATGTTACCAAACTACTGAGGCAACTTCATAAGTAGCTGAAAATGTAGAGGAGTTTTGGAAGAACCTGATATTAACTTTCACTAATATGGTTTAAATATATACCTCTCAACACAATTGAAAGAAGAGCGTTGAGAAAAAAGACAAATTTGGGACTTTTTCTTTAAGAACATTAACAAGGTTGAGGATTTTGTGATAAAAAGAAAGGCCTATAACCCAATGGTAAAACTTCCAAAGGAGAATTTTTTTTTTACTCCATTAAGATAAGCTGTGACTTAAACTCAATGAGTTAACTGGAATTAAGATGGATTTTTCTTTGTTTGATATGTGTAACTGAAAGAAAAGTTTAATCCAAAATTTGAAAATGTAATATTTATATATATTATTGAAAATGTATTTGAGAGTACCTATATTAAGAGAAAGTTAAAGAAAATGATGTTCCAGTTTAAAGAAAAATGTGTGTTAAAAAGGTTGTTTATAAAAGAAAAAAAATTCTATAAGGGTAGTTTGGAAGGAAGGATCTAAATGTAATACTGAAGTTTAAAATTTGTATGGTAAGAAAAGGATGCATTAGAAAATTTTGACTTAAAAAGAAGTGTTTTTAAAAAGTTTAGTACTTTAAAAAAAGGTGAAAAGTGTTTTTTTTCTTCAGTAAGGTCAAAGAATTTGAAAGAATACAATGAATCTTGTTAATAAAAATGGTGACAGTTCACAAAGATTATTAGGTACAAACAGAAATACATACTATTTCCACAGCAAGGAAGATAAAGCAGGAATGGTTAAATTGTTTATTTTATTTAAAGAGGAAAATATATTCTCATTTGGATATCACTTCTGGATTTTGTGCTTGTGATGAAAAAAAAAATGTAACTTTGACTTCAGTTTTGTTGATCAGAAAAATTTGTCATTATAGAAAAGGCTAGTTATGAATATATAATGTATAAACATACAGTATACAGACACACATACACACACACACACACACACACACACACACACTAATGTGTAAAAGCAAAAAGTTGAGGTTGGAATGTTTTTATCTTGTACTGTGCTAAGAAGAGTCAGAAGTCAATGCCTTTTTTTCCCCTTGTATCTCACACCCTCTTTTCCCCACTCTTTTACCTTCCCTTATAATTCCCTATTTTTATCTTTTTTTTTTCTTTGTATTTTATATAATAAAACAAATTTTAAAAAATTGTGACCAGAATATTCTTTCCCCCCAAAATTAGATTGATTTTGATATTCCAAAAGGCCTTCAAGAAGTGGTTGTGTGACCAGGCCTGAGTCTCCCATGGATTCAGAGACTTGGTTATATGCCGTTCAGAAGATTTATTGCTCCAGCCTATACACAGGAATCCAAACAACTAAAGTTCACTACTAAATTGGCACCAGAAAAGATTCAATAAAACTCAAGAGTGGTTGGACATGGACCATTTATGGCAACGTAATGATTCTAAGCTGATGACACACTTCACTCTGCCTCCCAGCTCCTCCTACTCTTCTCCTACACCTTCACTTTGATTGTATTTTGGGTTTACAGGGTAATTTTCATTACAGTCTTTTATATTTGTATTTGCTGTTTTAAAAATCTATTGTTATGCGCTGAACCATGGTTGCCTTCAGTGTTATAAATGTCTATATAAATTTGATTAATATTTTTTTAATGGAGAGAGGTTCCCATCAAAAGAAATGTGCTAAAGTCATAACGTGGTCTTGATTTAAAATACTCAACACTGAATTTGGAACTTGCTTAATCAATAAACTTGCAAGGTAATCCAGCAATATCTAATTTCTAGAAACAATTATGGGATTATGGAAGTAGGAGCTCTGGGCTCATAAAAGAATAAATTATCTGGTGATTTTAAGGATACCCCAGTAATCCCTTCCTTGCTGTAGAAATTGGCCCCTATAAACAATAATCTTAGAATCATAGACTCCTAGGGCTGGAAGGGATCTCAGAGGTCATCTAGTTCAACCCCCTGCTCAAGACAGGAGACCTTATACCATCTCAGAAAAATGGCTTCCTATCTTCTTCAAAACCTCCACTGATAAGAGCATGCGCAACCTTCTAGAGACAAGCCATTCCACTGATTAATCGTTCTCACTGTCAGGAATGTTTTTCTTAATTCTAGATTGGCTCTCTTTTTAATGATCTTAATGATTTACAGGCAATTCTGTTAATCAACAGTTCCTGATAGAACAACCAGTTCTTTTCAGAATTATTCTCTCCAAAATTGAATTTTTCACTGAAACCCCCTTTTAAATATCTCCCTTCCAGGGCATTGTAAAAGGCTCCCGCCTCCTGTTTCTTAAACTCTTTTGTCTTGAGAAATCATTTAATTTGTTTCCCAGTCGTGCAAGGAAGGATAATGTGTGGTATTCCAGATGTGCATGGAATCCCTGATCTGTCCGTCATCAGACATTAAGACTTCTGTCACTTAATGTAGAAGAGGCTGCTTCAAAATGGATTTCTCGAGTCTTCAATGGAGAAAAAAATTGCAAACCAACAAGACGATATGGCTGATTTATTTTCTGTGACACATTCTTCCACCGACTCTTCCCAGCTTGAACAGCCTAATGTCTTTCCTTGGGAATGAATCAAATAAGGGAAGTCAAAGAGACAGTCTGGCCTAGCGATTAAGGAACCAGGCTAAAAATTGGGAGACCTTGAGTTCTAGTCTCTCTTTAACCATGAAAGCTGGTTGGGTGACTTTGGGCCAATTCCTCCCTCTCAGCCCAATTTACCTCACAGAGTTATTGTTGTGGGGAAAATAGGAGGAGGAAGGGGTGGTGGATATGTTTGCTGTCTTGAGTTACTTGAACAAATAATAAAGGCAGGATGCAAATAACTATGCCCCACAGTAAGGGGAAACATGATTGGTTAAGCCAGCAGCAAGAAAGTAACTCAGGATGTACAAAATTCTGTGTGTGAACAGAGAACGTTCTGTACAAGAACAGCTGGTTGTGATAATCTCTACCTAAGTCTAAAGATGTGTACTTCAGATTTGGGCCATATCAGTGGTGGGATTCAAAAAATTTTACTACCAGTTCTGTGGGCGTGGCATGGCTTGGTGGACATGGCAGGGGAAGGATACAGTAAAATCTCCATTCCCACCCCACTCCAGGGGAAGGTTACTGCAAAATCCCCATTTCCTCCTGATCAGCTGGGACTCAGGAGGCAGAGAATAGATGGGGACAGGGCCAGTCAGAGGTGGTATTTACCGGTTCTCCGAACTACTGTATTTTTCAGAGTATAAGACGCACCGGAGTATAAGACACACCTACCTTTTTTGGTGAGAAAAAGAAGAAAAAGAAATCTCCCTCTGCCTCTGAGCAATTTTGCTTCATTGCAGCAAACAGCAAACAGCCTGCTTTACTTTCATTTTCTTTTTCAGCATAGCTTGATTAGCACAAGGAAAAAAAAAATCTGCTCTAGCCATTTACCTCTTTGCAGCAAGCAGCAGAGCCCTGCGCAAAACAGCTGAGAGCAAATCAGCTGAGAGTCAGGAGGCTGATCCAATCAACTGGTGCTAATTAGGCTGTGCTGAAGCTGAAAGGAGCTGTTTTTTTCTTGCTGTTTGCTTGCAAGGAGGTAACTGCTGTGAGGCAGAGGCCAAAGGGTGGGGGCCAGTGGGTGGGCAGGGCTACATTCGGTGTATAAGATGCACCTAAATTTTCACCCCCTTTTGGGGGGAGAAGATGCGTCTTATACTCCGAAAAATACGGTACTCAAAATTTCTGCTACCGTTTCTCCAGAACTGGTCAGAACCTGCTGAATGCCACCTTTGGCCACATATACAGGTAGCCCTCTACTTATGATCATTTGCTTTAATATTAGCAGCTTCAGGCTTGGATGGGATGCAGATGGGAGACATCAGGAGTTCCTTAGATATCCAGGAGTACTGAAAAAAACCCACACTAAAAGAAAACAGTGTGGCTGGTGGGGAATCCTGGGAGTTGAAGTCCACCCATCTTAAAATAGCCAAGGTTGAAACACTGGCCTAAACAATAACAAATTCAGCAATGGCTATATGTTATGACCACATGCCAGAAAACCATAACTCCCAGTCTCTCTCTTCATTTGGACTTGTTCCCTTGTCAATATTTGACATGTAGGTCAAGTGATATCTGGATGGGCACGGTTTGATGTTCAATATAAAGTGTAAGTTCCTCAGGTATCCTATGAGCTGGATCATATTCATAGCTCATAATCTTCCCTCCTTTGGGGAGGGAAACACCTTATAAAGTCTTCAGATCCATATGCCTAGATAGGTTTCGACATTTTTTTAAAAAAAATTGATTTATATGCCGCCCTTCTCCGGAGACTCAGGGCGGCTTACAATGCGTTAAGCAATAGCCTTCATACTTTTGTATATTTATACAAAGTCAGCTTATTGCCCCCACAAACTGGGTCCTCATTTCACCTACCTTAGAAAGGATGGAAGGCTGAGTCAACCTTGAGCCTGGTGAAATTCGAATTTACAGTAATTGCAGACAGCTGGTCACAATGCTTTTAGTCTGCTGAGCCACCAGGCTCTTGCTACATTGTTCTCCATTATGGTTCATGATGAAGTCATGTGTAGCTGTTATCTGAAAGGCAGACTCAGTGTGCATTGAACATATCTATGGCATATGACCCCATGTGTGTACCTGTTCTAATTAATACCAAGCAGGTGGTTAGCACTACCTCTATTCTCACATCCATTTCTGCATTCAAGAAATACAGGTAGTCTTTGACTTATGGCCACAATTGAGCCCAACGTTTCTGTTGCTAAGTGAAACACTTGTTAAGTGAGTTTTCCCCCATTGTATGACCTTTCTTGCCATATTTGTTAAGTGAATCACTGCAGTTGTTAAGTTAGTAACATGGTTGTTAACTGAATCTGGCTTCCTCCATTGACTTTGCTTGTCAGAAGGTCACAAAAGGGGATCACATGATCCCGGGACACTGCAACCATCATTAATACATGCCAATTGCCAAGCGGCTGACTTTTGATTATGTGACCATAGGGATGCTGCAATGGTCATAAGTGTGAAAAACGGTCATGTCCTTTTTTCAGTGTCATGATAACTTTGAATGGTCACTAAATGAAGTGTTGTAAGTCAATGACTACCTGTACCGGTACAGGACTAATGACTGGGAAAGGAAAGGGTGTAGAAAGTAGGCAGACAAGGAAGAGAATACTTACTGTGAATTCCCCAGTGACGGCATCAAAGCCAACATGGATTGTGTGCTCGAAGTCTGAAGGGAGAGAAATTTCAGGACGTTCCTTTTCTTTCTTCTTATTGGCTAGGGGCAAAATGTTAACAGCCATTTATTTCTGTGTAGTCATTTGTTCATCGATTTTCCTGTCTGGTTTATTCAAAGCAAGAAATAGAAGGGCAGGAAGAATAAAATAAAATTGGATTCGAAAGGATCCTCGGCAATATAACCTAAAGAGCTTTATGCATTTATCAGATTCTGAAGCATTTTCTGCTTTCCTGCTTAACTGAATGGAAATACCAATAAATATTTGTAGCTGAGGCTTGAAATCAGGGGTCCTTGGTGCTCTCTGAGCTTGGTTGTTTTCTTGCAGATGTTTCATTACCCAAACAAGGTAACATCATCAGTGCTAGAAGGGAATGAGGTTTGCTCTCCTTGTAGCACTGATGATGTTATCTAGTTTAGGTAATGAAACATCTTCAAGAAAATAACTAAGCTCAGAGAACACCAAGGATCCCTGAATGGAAATACCACCCTAACAGCACCATCTCAATGAGTTTTCTCAGAACCTGGATCACACATGACATTAAACCATAGTTTGCTTATAATCCTGATATGAAAACCATCAATTATGGCATTGTGTGTGAAGCCAGGTGCTATAATTTAATCTTCAAAGATTATGCATAAAATATTGGCTTAATCCCAAGTGACTGGAGCTGTCTTTACAAGAGATTTGGTTCCTCTTTACGAGCCCCATGTTCTGTGCAGGAGCATCCACAGGGAAATCAAAATAGCACTTAAACATGGTGACAGAAATTATGTTTTGGAGTTTCATATGACCCTATGAAAAAAATATGGAGAAATTTTTATTTTAAAATATCTCAGAAGAAACTGGCTATTGTTTCTCTTTATAGATATCCCAAGGTCCCACAAAGGTTGAGATGCCAGCAAGGAAAGTCAGCATAGATCAATTTAAAAGTCTCATCTTAATAGGGCTGCATAAGTAATGTCTTCATTGAAAAATTCATTTAACCCAAGAATTAAAGATGGAAAGTCTATATTTAACCTCTCTGTCTAAGGAATGGCAATTTTTTAAATTATTTTTTTAGCCAACATCACATCCTGCACTTAAGAGGAAAGGAATTATAATGGGAAGACATAGCAAGATCAGACTGCTTAAACACCAAAACGTCACTCAATTAAACTGCCTACCAAGACAGAGAGAGAGATTATTTTGGGATTCCATATGACATGTACCTCATCCTGGAGTTCAAAATAAGTAACTGAAAAGTGCTGATGCTCCAACTGATGCACTTTTAAGGAACTTTCCAAATGCTGAGAATGTGGATGCACATCCTCTGCCAAGTTGTGACATGGGGAAGGAGGAAGGAGGAGGAAGAAGAGGAGAAAGAGGAAGATGAGGAGAAAGATGAAGAGAAGGAGAAGGAGAAGCCTACATTCACTGGAAGAAGCAGGTGATTGAGAGATCCAGCTCCAGAAAAACTTGTGCCAATCAAAATAGATAATTCTGGCATGAACTGATAGTCCAATTAAATTTCTTGATTCATAAGCAACTCACTCAGTTATATAGTTTGAGCAGTTTCTCAGCATTGGTTCATGGCCCAGAAGGGGTCTCAACTTATCAAACTGTGGCTTATTCCATAAAGGTTGGTTCAGCAAAAAATAGCTAAGTATGATTTATGAAGCTGTTTGCCCTTGGCCTGTCCCTGTCTGATTTGCTTGAGGTCAACCGGAATAGTCCCAGTTCCTGTGGCCCCTGAGGAAAAATAATTGCCCACCCCTGCTTCAAATGGTTTGCTATATACTAAATTGTATTTATTATATATTCAAAGCAATTAAAATAAGCAGAGCATGGTTAAAGTAATTTTTATGAGTCTAGCCAGATGTTGGGGGGAGTCACAAAAATGAAGATGGCCATTGCATCTACAGAATCAAACTCCTGTCCCTTTTAACATGCAACACATGAATGGCACAGGTAAAAATGAGGCACAGTTTCAAAGACACAGTGGCAGCTGCTATCTTGACCATTTTGCCCTCCCCGGACCACCCTGCAGAAAAACAAGCATGAGGAAAGAAGAGGCCAGGAGTCTTTTGCTAGGCTGATACGTTACTTTTATCTCCTCCAGGGAAGATGGAGCGCAGGCGAGCTTTCCGGTTCTTCTCTTCAGGTGCCATGGGAAGCGGTTTGGAACTGTGGTTCAGGGCCGAAGAATCACGATTGTTACTGTTCATTCTCAAAGGAGGCGCAGGAGGTTTTTCTTCAGTATCCAGGCTTTCAGACATCTTCAGCAATTCTCACAGCTTCCTGGCAAGCAAAGAAAGGGAGGAAAGGAGAAGAGAGAAGTGAATGAGGGTTGGTTAGGAAAAACAAGAAAGCTGAAACAAACCAGAAATGTTAGAGTAATGATTGGGTATGTCTTGTGAAAAGGACTAGGGGTGACATAATAGCAATGTTTCAATATTTGAGGGTCTGCTACAAGGAAGAGAGGGGGGGGTCAACCTATTTCCCAAAGCATCTGAAGGCAAGGCAAGAAGCAATGGATTGAGATTAATCAAGGAGAAAACCAACCCAGAACTAAGGAGAAATTGTTATTATTAACCAATAGAATTTTATTTATTTTATTTTATTTTATTTTATTACATTTCTATACCGCCCTTCTCCCGAAGGACTCGGGGCGGTGAACAGCCAGAAGATAAAACACAGAGATACAAAATTTAAAATAGATTAAAACGAATTAAATAATTTGGCTGAATTTTAAAATACCCCATAATTAAACAGATTAAAATTTGTATTTAAAATTTAAATTTAAAAGAGGAGAAGATTTAGGCCAGGCCAGCTTGATGAAATGGTTTGCCTTCAGAAGTTGTGACTGCTCCATCACTGGATGCTTTTAAAAAGAGATTGGATAGCCATTTGTCTGAAATGGTATAGGGCAGTGATGGTTAACCTTTTCCGGACCGAGTGCCCAAAGTACGCGCACATGTGCACAAATGCGCATGTGTGCATGCCCAAATCCCCAAAATGCAATGTGTGTGCGGCCCCCGCACATACGCCCCGCCCCCCCATGCCTCCACGTGCAGCCCCTGCACATGCCCTGACCCCTGCGCATGTGTGCATCTCCTGCATGCGCCCCAACTGCCACGCATGCACACTCAGACTCTCCACACTCGTCCTGCATATGCACGGCAGAGACCCAAAGACTAGCTGGCCAGTGGGAGGCATGTGCTGCATGCCACTTTGCCATCACGGGTATAGGTTCTTCTGCTTGAGTAGGGGGCTGGACTAGGAGAACTCCAAGGTCCTTCCATCTTTTGTTGTTCTGATATTCTGTTATGTCCTTCCAGATAGGCTTATGGTTGTGTTACTAACAATCCAACTATTGTAGTAGCTATTACAAACTCTTAGTTAGATATCTTGGACTACAAGTAGCTTAAAGCAAGGGACAAAAGTTCTAAGGTACCACAAAGCTGCATCAGCTGCCATCCTAATTTCTCAAACTGCCCCACAGCAGCATGGGGGCATTATGGGAAATTCAACTGTTTGGCATTGGCCAGAGAACACCTCACAGAAGCTGGATCTTCAGAGTATTTTCCCTGGTTGAAGTAACCCTGGTTGGGTTACTACATAACAATCTTGCTGGATTCCTATCCTCAGTCTTTTTTTCCTCCACAACATAAGGTTCCTACTTCTTTGCAGTGTGCCACTGACCCAGACATCACAACTGCTGGCTTGCAGCGAAGCCCTTTCACAAATAAGTTAAATGAATCTCAACTGGATTTTAATTAAACCAAGGGCTGAGGTAATTTGAAAGTCTGGAGCTAATCAACCAACAGGTGGGAATAAAGAGACAAGGGAGTTTATTGAAGCAAAGTGCCCAAATCAAGACTACTAATAAGAACTAGTCATTTATATTCATGCAATTCTTTGAGGTGAATTCATATAGGTGTAGGCACGCAACTCAACAACTCCATTCAGAACTTTCTGCAGTTTGGAGAAATGTTTCAAATGAGTGTTGAATCCTTCTTCCCCATATGGTGTATAACAAAGTAGATCTGAATGAACAAAGAAGTCACTTAAACCAAAAGAGGTAGGAGATGGGGATTCAAAGAACAGCAGTTGTAGTTAAGAAATGTGCTTGTCTCCATAATGGTCTCAGATTCACGTATGAAGTAAATAGCAAGCTTTTTATCTGGAGGAGAATCTGGATAATTAAAGAGAAGACCTCCCTTCCACAAGGAGCATCTTTTGGGGATGCTGTCTGATAAGTTGATGGACTAAATTCATGGGGCTACCAAGCATGGAAGGGAAATACTTCAGATGAAACTTGCTAATGATATTCCTGATGTTGTGGATTGTAGATAGATCAGATGGAAGCACAACCATTTGACCAGTTTGTGATATTTGCCACTATTCATTTTGGATAACTGATATGCAGAAAAATCATGCTTTGAAGGCCAGGAATAAAACACAGAATAACAGGGTTGGAATCTGTTGTGTTTATCTGTTCTATTGCCTGTTTCCCACAAAGAAACGGGAGGGGAATCCATCAGTGATACTAGATATTAGATGACCAGATGTTAAGACATGGACTGGGGCAACCATTTCCTCTCAGATGCTTCTGAACTTCAATTCTCTGAATTCTTTTCCCATGAAAGCTCTTCAAGCACTATGGGCCATATCTTTCACAAAACTGCTTCAAGACTTCCAGATTATGTGAGGTCTTCTTGCAGGATCAGGTATATTTCAATGGTCCCAATCTGGGTTGATGAGTAATCCTGAAATGTTAAGATCAACCTATAAGTGCTCTCACAAAATTGCTGCTCGGTTAGGTGAAGTCAGATACAACAGAGCTGTGATCCAGGAAGTAAACTGGAGAGAATATTTCCCACCAGCCTCTAATCTATTCAGATGTTCTTGGGCAGATGGGTATGCCTCCAAAGATATAGATCACAGGTGTCCAACTTCAGCAACTTTAATACCTGTGGCCTTCAACTCTTTTTACTCTTCAATATCTTCATAAATGACTTAGATGAGTGAATAGAAGGGGAACTCAACAAATTTGCAGATGACACTAAACTGGCAGAATAGCCAACACCCCTGAAGACAAACTCAGGATCCAAAAAAATCTTGACAAACTTGAACAATGGGCCCTATCCAACAAAATGAATTTCAAAGTGGAGAAAAGCGAAGTTTTACATTTAGGCAGGAAAAATCAAAGGTATAAGTACAGATTAGGCAAGACCTGGCTCAAAAACAGTAACTGTGAGAGGGACCTTGGAGTCCTAGTGGACGATCACTTGAATATGAGCCAGCAGTGTGCGGCGGCGGCCAAAAAAGTGAATGCAAACCTGGGTTGTATAAACAGAGGCATAGAATCAAGATCATGTGAAGTATTAGTAGCGTTTTATAAAACCCTAGTAAGACCACACCTGGAATACTGCAACCGATTTTGGTCACCATACTACAAAAACGATGTTGAGACCTTAGAAAAAGTTCAAAGAGGAGCAACTAAGATGATCATAGGCCTGGAGATTAAAACATATGAAGAATGGCTCCAGGATTTGGGTTTGGCTAGTCTAAAGAAAAGAAGAGTTAGGGGCAACATGATAGCAGTATTCCAATATTCCAGGGGCTGCCAGAAAGAAAAGGGGGGGTCAAATTATTCTCCAAAGCACCAGAGGGCAGGACAAGAAAGAATGGTTGAAAACTATTTCCTGGAATCAAGGAGAAACTTCTTAACAGTGAGGACAACTAACCAATGGAATAGCTTGCCTTCAGAAATCATGGGTGCTTCATCATTGGATGTTTTTAAGAGACTGGATAGTCACTTATCTGAAATGGTATTGGTTCTCCTGCTTGAATAGGGGCTGGACTAGAAGACCTCCAAGGTCCCTTCAAGTTCTATTCTATTCTAACTCCCAGAATTCCCCAGCCAGCCTTGGTCCTCTGATCTAGGCTATGGGTCTCATTTCTTTCTTTCTTTCTTTCTTTCTTTCTTTCTTTCTTTCTTTCTTTCTTTCT